GTAACCAGCCAGAATTAGAAATATGAAGCTGAATAGTACAACAGGATCGAAAGAGTGAGCTGCTATATCTTGCCAGTCAACACAACAACTAGTAGCAACTTATAGTAAAAAGGTGTCTCCTATGTCTAAAGATCTTAGTAAAAAAATAACTGTAAGAACTTAATATTACGATTTAATTTTACAACATCTGTGAGAGACTCATTGAATTATTTTTCTCTCCTTGGAAAACTGGCAAATAAATATTATATAACATTTTATATTATATTTATGTTTATATCTTATACACTAAAAAAACTTTTGCAAAACTTATGACAGCCCGACCATACTACTGGACCGAATTACACATGTTTGGCACCAAATGAAAGATATTTTCCTGTAGATGTGCAGAATCCCTTTATAAATTAAAATAGGCTCAAAAATAAGCACAACAAATGAATTTAGATAAACAAATTAAATTGGGCCTTATCGGTTGCCATAATGGTGACGAAATAAAAACAAAGTATAAACAGAAAATACAAAACAAATGGAAGAAATTCCAATCACATGTTTTATTTACAGCGTGTGGAATGAAAATAGAGAAGTTAGCAAAATTCATACTTTTGGTCGAGATTTCGTAGTAAATAATGTAGTGAAAAAATCGCTTTACCTTCATAGAATACTAGCTGTAACCCGCGGGCTTTGCCCCGTTTAACTTCTTAATTTTCAAGATTATCTCGTTCGCATGGCTCAATCACGTCCCGGTTGAAGTTCGTTCGCTACGCTCACTCACCTTTTGGTTGCAAATTAGCTGTTGCCATAAATGTAAAATACATAATAGTGCTGCACCCTGTTGGTAATCCTTGTAGCTTTAATGCTATTGAACATCATAGAACAGAACCAACTTGTTTAATTGTGAAACAGCTGTTAAGATTCAATAATTCCATTTCTCATAAGGATAACATGGGAAACTCCAGAGCCACTGGGGCGGAGCCCGAAAGGATTTTTGAAATAAGAATATGCCTATATGTTAATCGGGAATGTGAGCTATCATCATGCCAAATTTCAGCCCAATCCGACCAGTATTTTTCGCGTTCACTTGTCACAAACATACATCCATACATCCATACATCCAAACTTTCTCATTTATAATATTAGTAGGATTACAGTGGCACCCCATGGCAAAAAGACCGGTTTCACCCAGGCATCCCCTCTAAGTTTTAGCTCATCAGGCATACCCAAGATCCCCCGATCGTCAATAGGTACCAACATCATGCACCACTTGGGTATATATCGGAACGGTTGTACTCATAATCATAGCGAGAACTTAATTGTTTCTCGTCGAGTTAATGAAAACATACGATTCCTTCCTTGTTGGACTTGTTAAATACCCATTATCAATCATATTTTCTTCACCTTTGTAAGACAATTTAGAATGGTAGAGGTTTATTTCATGTTCTTTATTCCTAAGTGCAGCTAAATATTCAATCTACGTTACCGACACTTAGTTCTAACGAAATCCGCTAGGTCGCGTTGCTGATCGAAGCTCAGTTAGAGAACAGTAGTAAAAGCGCGAAATTTAAAATAACAAGTTTATCTCTCACTATGGATAAAGCCATAGACTTTGAACAGTATTAGTATTACTACTAGGTGAAACCCGTCGGAATCGACGGTTAGGTACTTTCAAGGCTTACGCTAAATTCATCTAACTGCGATGAATTGAGTGAAGTTTTATGCATATTTTGAGAATATTTTGGAACATATTTTGGAAGAACCTTTAAACAGTATTAAAATTGTTTTGGTAGATCCTTTGTAGTTAAATACTTCCGCGATTTCATCAGTGTAACGCATATTAATCTAGGATTTTATTTGAAAAAAAAAATCTGTTTGTTGGGAAGACACGTTCTAACTTCAAAGGGAGGTATATCCATTACAGTGTAAGTTTGATTTTTCCTTAGTTGTCTCAGCAATTACATAAAGTTGTCAAAATAATCTCTACGGAATGTTAGGAGTAGTGGAATATACTTGAAGTGAAGTTGGCTTTAATTCTTGGGACCTCCTCGTTTATATGGTCGTGCGGCTTCATTGGCAACAAATAATGCAAATAACATAGCAATGTGGAATTTCCAAAAAGGAAAAATAATTTTAATTGGCTGTTACGTAAATATTGACGTTTACATGCATTATTAATCAACGTATCTTATAAAGGATGATGGTATCTAGTTTAAAAGGAATATAACCTTTCTGTCATGACAGTAGCTGCTTAAATAGTATTTACTCATTGGGCCATTTTTACAGCCAAAATTGTAGTGTTATTTTCAATAATATTATCAACCCAGTGGGCCACGGTCCATAATATAGGCCACTGCAAATAATTTGTCAAGATAGGTACCATTTTAGGCAAGGTTTCTGTGTTTGGATGTTATTAGACACGGTAAGAGCACAATACAATTCTTCTGCAGATGAATTATCTGCTGGAGAAATATAAGCCGAATTATAAATGTTACAATGCGAGTTTGAGCATTTTGTAACTACCATGGGTAAGTTACATAGATTTTCTTTAGGCTGCTGCTCAGTGCACTTTAAGAATATATATTTTAAGATAAATTAAATTGTTTTTGTTGCTGAGTAGCGCTAGTAAACATGCACAATCCTTTTCGTTAGTCTAATAACATTCAAAGGCTCTCAAGAGTTCAAGTTCTTATTTTTATACATACAGTATCTATATTACGTTTTCACTAAGCTAAATGAATACATCGAAGTAACCTCTCTGAAAAGTCTGCAGTATATTGCAGTTTTAGCTTAATGACTTTCTAAATCATGCACATATTATTTCTGCATAAATATTGTAAAATGGTTTATCCAGTTGCTGTAAACTACTATTATTTTAACAAAATATGGACACGGCTCAAATGGGCACGTGCCCTTCTGCACTTGAGTTATTTTGTATTGTATTACACAATCGAAGGTTTGTCCATTGATTGGAAACATGTATGACAATAATCTCATGAACCTATGATGATCTGTCTAGAATAATATGATAAAATATAGGAAAAGTTGGTGAAAAAGGCAGACACCAACCCGTATAATAAAATAGATATAAGATAGTTCAATAAGAAATAATTGTAAGAGTTACAGTGATAAAAGGATTTCCAACTGATTTCATAATGAAACGTTATATTGCAAAACATGACAGAATAAAATCAATTTTAAAGTCAGAAAATAACATTGCAAATACTTCTTTTGGACAGTTCAGTAACTCCCAATAAATGTGTGTTGTTTAAAATACAATTTAAAAATTACCAGCTGTTTCATTAAAAAGTATTATCCACATGGCCAAAATGTAAACAAATTTGTGGAGGGATCTTTAAAGGCTTCTGGGGCAGAGGCCTAAGCGAATTTACTTCGTTTTTCTTTTGATAACTCATCTACAGACCAAGACCTTTCTTTTGATACCTCTACCAAGTTTCTACGCCCAGCCGTTCTCTCAAATTAGTGGAGACAAAGTTTCCAATTAAATATTTAGATTCCCCCATGTTAATCTTATGGGAGAAACCCCAACTTTGATGGAAGATCCTGCCCAAACTAATAAAGATATCAAAAAACTAAAAACACTTTGCAAAACTACGGATTAGGGCAATTGTTTTGACACTTTAATCATCAAAATCGGTCCAAAAATGAGGGAGGAGTTCTGTTCACAAAAATCGGCTTAGCGTATTATATATATAGATTACTGTGTTTAAATCTATAAACACTCGCTTTTATTTTAATATTGATAAATATGTGTTATGTTTTTTTTTGTTATTTATCCAATTTTCCAACTATTTTGACCATAACGAAACCTTCTCAGTTAATGTATGATTTATGATTTTATTTCTCAAATTCGGCGTCGGTTTACATGTCGCCACATGGTAAAATACATACAATAGGCGATAAAATAAATACATTGTTGACGAAATAACCACAAAATATAAACAGAAAATTAAAACAAATTAAAGAAATTCCAATCACGTGTTTTGTTTACAGCGTGGGTTGAAAATTGAGAAGTTTGCAAAATACATATTTTTGGTCGAGTTTTCGACCACGGGGTGAGCTCTCGTATTTATTTATATATTATGTTAATATTTTATCAATATTGTAAATTAACTATCGAGTTGTTTATTTTTTAACTCTGGGTTATCTTTTTTAGTAAATTATATCGACGATTTATACTCAAGCCTTCTAAGGTCATGCATGGCCTTCCTTTGGTCATTACGATTACGTTAAGGAAAATATAGTTTTTGTTTCTTTCGCGATCCAATTATATCGTCATGCTCGAGTGACGTCATGTAATGAAGGCGTGTGTCGCACCCTGTCATGATCAATGAGTATCACCTGCTTATCGATCAGCTGGAACTTCCGTTAGGTCCTCTACTTCCGGTCCTCAGTCTGTAGACTTCTGACAGTTGCCATGGTTGATATCTGGATGACGTATGCGTGCTATGCCCGTAGGATACATAAAGGTAGGCAGAAAAGTATAGTTTCAAATAAATTATCAATCAGAAGTGTAATATGTTACTTTTAAATCATTATTTTAATTTTCCAAGCAATATATTGTTTTATTATGGATTCTGTGTAGACTGTATCTCGAAATATTTCGTCTGTGTTCTGGGTAGCTTCTGTATTCTGTAATACATTTGATTGGTTGCTGTTTCGTAGTATGTGAGTGCTTTTGCTCAGACCATTGTTGAGACTAGGGATCATCGGAACGATATGAGCGAAATTCTACTGAAATCGTCTTGTAGAACATTAGGGACCTTTGATAGAATCGAGACAATTTACAGAATAATTTGTTTTTGTGGATTTCGGGGAGTTTCCAGAAAATTCACCCTAAAACAAGTGCTTGTTACAACGCTCCTGTATTGTTGTAGAACTTAGAACATCTACTGCAGTCAGCTGATTATTCCAACGCTCCTGTATTGTTGTAGAACATACAATAACTACTACTGTCAGCTGATTGTTACAACGTTCCTGTATTGTTGCAGACATGTCTCCAGTGCGATGGAGACGACGTCGAAGCAGTCAGGACCAGGATCTCCATCTCTACAACATCCGACAACAGCTGGTCGTAGTCACAGACCATTGGTAAGTGTTAACTTTACAGCGGTTTTAGAACATTCTTATACTCAGCATTTTCGTTTTCCCACAAAATATATTAAAATTTCGAGTTCTTATTCAAACAGGCAAGCATGTTTCTTTAAAAACTTTTTCCTCAGCTAGTGTGCACCGCAGGAAAATCTACGCATACTGATGGAAAGATACTTTTCTGTAGATGTGCAGAATCCCTTTATAAATTAAAATAGGCTGAAAAATAAGCACACAAACTTAATTTAAAGTTAAAAAATTAACATGGGCCTTATGGGTTGTCATCCTGGTGACGAAATAACAACGAAATACAAACAGAAAATAAAAACAAATGGAAGAAATTCCAATCACATGATTTATTTACAGCGTGAGGTGAAAATAGCTAAAGTCTGTACATTACATATTTTTTGTCGAGTTTTCGACCACTAAACGACCTCTTGTATCTTTTAAACAAGATTAAGAGGTTTAGTTACAGAATAAAAATATGTATACTTTTCGGTTGCTGGACAGCGTTTTGTTGCTTATATGTTTATCCCAGATCAATGAGGATAAAATATACTTTTTTCTGTGGCTTTATTATTGTGTTATCACACTCTATTTCTCATTCAATGTTGTATGTGAGCATTTTAGCACTCACCCCCATACAACGGGCTCAATTCTTTAATTATTTTCTATATTTTGCAATAATGCTTTTTTGGAGACATTATTTAGACCTATTCATATAGTTTTTTTCATTTAACTTTTTAAGGTGTGAAGATAAGAATAAATTTATTGCAATGATTTTTGTATGGATGTTAAGAGATCTGTAAATATCAACCGATTAGGCAGTGCAGCACCATTACATTTTGTAAGCAAAACTAATTTAGGTAAGATCCGTAGCAAGTTAAACCACAGACAATAGAGTTTAAATCCTACGTTTAAACTTTCCAAAATGCTGCCCAAACTACACACATTGAATGAATGAAGTTCCAAAACTGATAACATTAAATAACTAAGGAAGCAGACGGGAAGACGTGAAGATAACTGTTCTTTAAACATAGATAATCTAGGCGCCACCCAACCTGTTTAAACTAAACAGTTTAAATACCCGTATTTCCTCAAATACCATGCTCAAATAACATGCTTTAAACTGCCGGGACCGTTTGACAGTTAATGAAATAACATGCTTAACAGCTTTTGATTAACTTAGTAAAATTACGATTTGCATTATATTCGTTTTCTTTTTACTTTGGAATTAATAAATTTAAATCCCTGGTGAAAATAAGCCTTATTGCTATATTATATTTTATTACTGATACAGATTTAAATTTGGGTAAGATTATTCATATATTTAAAAATTGCCACCTTTTATTTACATAAAGAATGTTTTAGTCATATTTAAAAGATTTGCATACTTGCAGAAGTCGTAGAGTTTTAAATATGGATCAGTAGATTATTCTCAATTAAAGCATCATTCAATCACAGCCAAATTACTACGAATTCATTGCATTAGTTCATTTGGAACTTTGGTAAACTCAAAACTAACTCTTGTAAATTCTCGATATCTGGAAAAGCTTGTAAATGCTCCATACATTTTCCAAAAATTGCAATGCAGTAAACAGTGTACTGAACGAACGGTATTATAACAAAGGGGATCTTTGGATTTATATCTTAGCTCGCTACCATCACGGTCACCTTATTGCATTCAAAATGAGATAGTATAAGATTCTTCTCTTCTTCTTCGTAGTGTTCCAGTACAGTGAGCTGAAAGCCTACTGGACTGAGGCTGTTTTAGGACTTTGTCCTCTTCAGCCAGTTTTTTTGTGGCCCAATCCCATAAGGATCGGGCGCTAGTTAAAAATTTGTTTATAGACTCATCGTGTGTTCCCCCTCCACGGAAATCTTTAGTAAAAGTTGAATTTTTTTTCTTTTTGAAGAGAAACCAGTTTGTATTTCATCATGATTTTTGCAATGTTCGCCAGTTTTGTTACTAATGTCTAATGTGTGAGTGTGAAAAAAGGGTTTACTGGACAGTAAATCGTACCGGTTTCTTATAAATGTATAATAGAAATTTTAATAGTCTAATGAATTGAGCGGTTAATGACCTTCAAATTTCAATGTTACATTTTGTCAACTGTCTGCAGTTGTTGATTAGGATTAGGCTACAAGTATCAATTTCAGTAGGTAGCTCTGATTCTGTAATATATCAAAAGCATAGTTTTTTTTTCGCTGCTTTTATGGTTATTGTTTTGAACACGTAGTAAATTCTTGTTCATCCGTATCAGGTTTGCCGGGTTTAGATATACTGTACTTTTAGCGCTAGCAACATTGTCGATATTGTTTTCGTTCTCTGCATGGAATTTATATTGAACGATGAATTACTGTTCATTATTTCTAGTTTAAAAGGCCTTTTTCAATAAATATTCCTCAAACCCACTGGTGTTCCACAGGTCCACACCCTCTATGGTGGCCTCGACAGCGACCCCACGGGTCCGTAGGACGTCCCTAGGCAAGGAGGTTTGTGCACGAGAGAAGAGGAACCCTCTCCTGGAAAAGGTTAAGAACACCAAACTCTCCTGTTTCCGGTCCACGGGTAACATGGCTCCTATTTCCGGGGAGGTGACTACTGACAGTGAAAGGTAAGGGTAGGATATATCTACTTCAAATCAAATTAATTCAATTTAAACTAAACTGAGGTTAACCATGATTTTACGCAAGTAAAACGGCTCCTTCAACTAGCGTTAAGCAGCATGCAGCACGTATATGCAAGAATGAGATGCACCGGTGAATTGCAGGGGCTGTTGTTATTTGCTAGAGTATAGTAAATGAATGCCGACTTCGTTGTTTTTCAGTTACTCAGTTACTCTAATGTACTCAGGTGGAAAATCGTATTTATTACATTAACAACATACATATAGGCTATAACTTATAATTTGTGTTAATCAATATTAGTTTTCACCTTCTGTCGTTCCTATTCGCTGCTTAATAGGAACGGTGGAAAATAAATAAATATTAATGAATTTTTGACGTTCCAATAGTAGGAAATAAACCGTAATTGTTTTAAATCTTTTTCTTATGTAAGCAATGGACACGGCTTTTCAATTGTTACATGGCGTAATGTTAGTTTTTAACATTTATAAAAATGGTAAAACAGTACTGTAACAATTTTGGAGCAAAACACGTACTAGAAGTCAGCAAGAATACATTATATATACGCGTTTTAAATGATAATTCTATTTTGTTAATATTCAATCAATGCAAGGTTACTTTTTTGTCAAATCAACAAAAAATCAAGGTTTAGCGAGAGAGAAAAAAATTATACTATCGCATGATATTTTGTGAGACATATCTACAATTCAAACTATTCTATACAAGTCAAACCACGATTAGTCACTGCAGACAGTTTTATTCGTGCTTAAAGAACACTAAGATTATAAATAAAAAATATTTTAAACAATTAGTACTGTATAAAAAATACGTAGAAATATCTATAATTTACCCCTACTAAGACCAATGTATCCAATGTTTTATGTCTCTAGAAAAAAGTAGGCCTAAGTAATCCAAAATATTTTTTTCGTTTTGAAAACCTTGGTTTGACAAGAATGTAGCTTTACTTTTATTTAATTCACTGGAAATTAATTCTTTCCATTCAATAACCAGCAACAATACCCACAGCCTTCTAGATCGACCACGTCGCCTCGCCGCATCCATTGATGACTTGATCGACGACGACGTATTCTTCAAGGACGTTCCCGTGGTGGCCGCCAGGAGCGCTGTTCAACGCGCTGCTTTCACTTCGCCCGTGCTAGAGAGGCTAGACACCCTGGACAGGCTAGACACCCAGCGCACACTAGACACCCAGCACACACTAGACACCCATCGACCAGTCGCCATGAACAACTCATGTTTTTCGGCCAAGCTGAAGGCGATGTCAGAGAAATACCTTAAATGTTCTACCAATAGATTCTTAGCCAAACTGTATAAAACTAAGGACAGTGGGGTGCCCAAGGAACCATCCAAAGCCAAGCTGAGGTAGATTATTGCATTAAATATTATAATATAAATTAAAAATATTTTAATTTAATTTTCTGGACATTTGTGTATAGTTGACAACTATTAGTGATACTTATTTTTGATAATTATAAGTATTATGTAAACACACAAGTAATTCGGGTTGGTAAATTACTTGGAAATAATAATTTACTAAAAAAAAAATTTGTGGCCAATAATTTTGTAAGGTATAAAAATATATCAAGATAAATAATTAATAAGCATACAGTACCAGATATGGGCATTACACTGTACCATACGTATGAATTTTTGAGGGTGGTGTTTTTGGCCTCTAGGGATATAAAAACAAAAAAGGAAATCGGTCTTGGGTTCAAGTCTTACCATTAGACATAAGACCTACGTCAATGGCTTATTCCCTACATGGGAAATTCATTTAAAAAAGATTTCATCCATTTTTTTGTAAAAAAATATTTTTTTAGTGTTAACTGTTTATGCCAATAACATTTTTTATGAATTAGACACAAAAACACTAAAAAAGTAAAGTGGTCCAACCCCTGTGCTTTAAATTTCATTTCTGCATCCAGTTAAATCTTCATTCTACTTCACAGTACATTGGATGAAACTTTCGCACCAAGAAAGTATTCTAATTAAGTTTCCTAACACAATTTATCAGTGTAACAACTACAGAACCTCTACCAATAATTCACAGAATCAATTCCATGCCTTTTCACAGGAGTTTCTCGTACGGAGCTCTACCAGGGGTGGAAGAGTTCCAGAGGCGACACAACCCTCTCTACACCGAGGATGATGATGACTACCTGACAGGCGGGGGTGGGGGTGAGGACTGTGACAGTGGTATCCTGGTCAACGGGAGCATTACGGGGTCTCTAGGCGGGGGCAGGACTAGCTTCCGGGGCTCACACCACGCCAGGAGTGCCTCACAGGACCAGACGAGCCTCTCTGTGCAAGGTAATCGTCACATTTTGTGATAAGGGTGGATTTCACTTTTTAGAGGAAGGGGTATGGATAAAACACAGAAAAAAATAAAAAACATAATCCTTCTTTCTTTTATTTTCAGCAGTTGGTAGTATCTCTTGATTCAGTCCATTAGCGTTATAGGCTCTTGGAAAATCCCAACAGCTGTAGAATGCCCATTTATTTTATGCTTTGTCCTCATGGTAACTTTTCTTAGGAATTTCAATTTCATCTTTCTCTTTGCTAGAGCTGGACAATCAAATTCCAAAATGTTCGCCGAGTTACCCCTCTATTGAACGATTGCATTGGTCCTGGTACTGTACCACTGTACCCTGATGTTTATTTCATGGTTTTTATTAGCGAATTTCCCTATAGGGAAGTAGCTATTACCGTAGGTCTCATGGTAAGACTTAAGCCCGGGACCGATTTACTTTTTCATTTTGATGTCCCCAGAGGCCAAAAACACCATTCGTTCAAATTTTGATATATGTATATATATATATATAGACTTTTATATATATATATATATATATATACGTCCGTGAACGCGATAACTTGAGTAATTTTTGTCCGATTTTGATGAAATTTGGTTTAAAGGTGTAAAGCGGGATAAACTTGAATGAGTTCGCGAATCAGCATGATCGGACCATGGGAACGGGGCTTTACGGGGGGTTTTATGGGGTAAAAATTGGTTTTTCTCACTTTTGACCCTCAAAACACAAAATTTCCCAATTTCTCTTTAGACCTTTTTAAAGAGCTTAAAAAAACAATTAATTTAGTATATAAAAGTATTTTTTTTCGGTTAATAGTAACGGAAAAAATTAAAAAAATTGTAAATTTAAAATTCCCATGTTATTCTTATGGAGAATATTGTCAAATGTTGTAGTTTGCTTGTTTATGGATATATTTTGTATTTTGATCAAATTTATTTATTTTGTACTAAGCAATCAATATTTTACAAAAAAACACACTTTATTAGTTTCCTTGTAGCAGCAAACCTAGGTACTCGTTAAACCTAATGTTATTAAAATATATTTAATTGAAAATCAATTAAGACAAATCGAAATTCGCTTAGTCGGCAGGTTTGCTACGGCGGGGGTATTTACTGCATGTGGTCATGCAGAAACACATAGAATCTTCTCCATCTTTGTTAATTTTGAAAATATTTTTAAATATTCAAATTTACGTATCCCGACAAGACATTTTATACACCACCACATTCCAACCTTTGAATCTAAGTTTTTCAAAATCAAGTGAAAGTTGGTATTATTGTAACCTCTAGCTATAGCCTCTTGTTTTATTTCTACAAAACTAAGTTGCCACATATCTTAGTGACTAATTTACCAATGTCCTTTGAATTAACAGATACATCCTACTCAACGTTGTTAGATTATACTTGAATAACTGAAAAATTGGCAACACTAAATTGAATCTTAGACCACGTTTGTTTCAGCAAGCAATTTTTGAACTGCTAAATAATATTCTATCCTAATTCGTAGCTAGTAAAACATGTTTTCAGTACAACTTTATGCTTTGCATCGCTATCTCAATAGGATGCGTCATTGACCTATTCAATTCCCCCCATCAGTTGAATCAAGCCACGTCTAGCTATAAACTGAATAGTTTTATAGCTTGAATCAAGCTTATAATGTAACTGTTAAGACTGTTCATATTTTGTGTTAAGAAGTAACACTTAAGTAAGTTAAGTTGAATTGTTGGTACTTTTTTAGGAAAATTATTAAAGGTGAAGATTTTTACGAAGTAGAATGATAAATTTTCTCTTGCTTGTGTCCTACAACAAAATCAGTTTTGTTGATAACTCTTGAAAACAACTGTTAGGCGTCAACATGAGTAAAGGAAGAGTTATCTAGTAATTAGTCATACATCCAACCTTCAACAATAGATAACAAACATAATGAATGTAAAACTCTGTTTTAGTGTGTGGCGAAGTTGGTAATTTTTCTAGGAAATATACTGATACTTGTACTAATACAAGTAATACATTACAGGTAAACTTTAAATTAATTAGGGTTAAAGTTTATTAATTTGAACCTACAGATTGAAGTGAGTGAACTTTTAAAACACACAGACAGCTACATAAACTAGACTGTTGGCCTACATTTCAGCTACAGAGGTGCTAATTATGTTAAAAGTTATGCCAGTACTGTAAGTGGCAAGGGGCTTGGTTGCCGCGTATACACGAACTAAGGATTTATATGCAAAAACGACAAAGAGGCTTATAGTCCAGTCAATCTGGGGTTTTTAGACAAAAAAAATACTAACAGGCTGGATTTTTTCCCATCGACTACTACCATGTAGACAAGTCTCCAGCCAAAAGTCCCCACCCTTAGCCCTCTTGCTTTTTTCCCTAGAGCCCTCCAAATTTTTTAAGGGTGGATAAATGCAGTACTTTATAAAATCGCTTATATTTCAGTAACTATTTCAGATAGACCTTACATCTTGTTGTTTTTAGATCCCTAAAATTACGGTCTAAGAACACGTTATGTAGGATTTGTGATTAATTTGCTAGTTTAATAGTTATTTCCATCTTTAATGCTAGAAAAAACAAAATGTTTCCATTTTATTCCGAATATTTAAGAGATATAGCACCAATAATAATCATTAGTAAAGAGTTTTTATTTCAACATATTCTTCATTTAATAAGCTTTAAAATGATATATAACTTGGCATAACTAGCACTTACTATGCCCTTTAATTACCCATTTGAAGTATAGTAATCACCGCCGACTGCCGTGAACGCGCGCCCCGTCCATCGAAGTATACAGGGTGGTAAAAAAGTCCCAGGACAGTTAAATATTTTAAAAAATAATGCAGATAGAGCTACAATACTTGGTACAAAGTTACAGGGCATAAAACTCTATTTTAACACATATTCAGTGATCCAATAACTCTTCAGGGGCACGGCCCACAAGGAGTCGGAAGAAAATCATAAATGGAAGCATGGGTCAATATGCACATCAAATTAAAGGTCTTTTTTAGTAGAATACAATGCCGCAAACCGCACTTCAAAAGGTTGATCCTGCGCAAAATGACAGTTGTTCAAAGATTAATTTAATTTACATTGCTATTATACACTTACTCCTCAGGGGGCACAGCCCTAGGAATCGGAAGAAAATTGTTAACGTAAGCATAGGTCGATATGCACATCAAATTAAAGGTCTTCACTAGTAGATTACGATGCCGTAAATTCAAGCTCAATAGAATGCCTGAGTAAAAAATGGCAGTCGTTCAAAGATTCAAAATGGCGGATTCAAGAAATCTTTGAACATCTGCCATTTTGCGCAGGATCAACCTTTTGAAGTGCGGTTTGCGGCATTGTATTCTACTAAAGATGACCTTCAATTTGATGTGCATATTGACCTATGCTTTCATTTAAGATTTTCTTCCGACTCCTTGTGGGTCGTCCCCCTGAAGAGTTATTGGATCACTGAATATGTGTTAAAATAGAGTTTTATGCCCTGTAACTTTGTACCAAGTATTGTAGCTCTATCTACATTATTTTTTAAAATATTTAACTGTCCTGGGACTTTTTTACCACCCTGTATAACACCAGTTAGTTGTGTTATATACTTCGATGGCCCCGTCCCGCCCGCTAGCGCCGCCGCCGCGCCGCGACGCGATACCGACAAGGGCTCGGGACTAGGCATGCCTCCGTTCACATAATAGATGATTTATTTTTTTAAACGATCTTCATATCACTTAAAAACAAACATATTATTATTTCTCATATTAATTAATTAGGAAAATTAAAAAGAAACTAATACAACTAAATTAATTAGTTATTGCATATAAAGCATCGAGCCGAGTAAATACTGCATAGTATATGTGTGGTAAATAATAACTTATTATATTATAAGACAAAAATAATATAAATTTAAAATGTGAACACAAATTTAACTTATGTAAATAAACATAAACAGTGTACACAACTGTGATAATAATATTAACAAGCCTTATGTTTTATAAATCCTTATGTTTTCCCCTTTTGTGTGCCCTATTAGTAAAATAAATAATACAGTTACTGATTTAGTAAACGATAGAACAATGGCAAATCATGTTTTCTACGATCACTTATTTATTTTTCCATTTCACTTAGAACCTTTTATTTTGATTTTCACAGTTGGTGTTCCTGTAACCGATTTGGGTTGGCACCCCTGCAACTGTTTCCGTATAGTATATTTTAAAGGTTGGCATCCCTGTAACCGTTTCCGGATGGTGATCAACTTGCGTGAGTGTGATATAAAGATGGTGTTTTTTTCGAAGTGAATATAATTTTAAATAAACAGATGCGTGCTTGTTATTTCCTAATAATGTTATTTAGTTATGACTTGAGTTTTGACGTGAATATTTAGTGTATAATTATGGAAGCGGAATGTGACGCAACGGAGGAAGACTCGCCTCGATGCGTGATCTGCAAAGGACAGTTGGCAGCAGGTGAAACTGTGAATGTAAGATCCAAAGGATTGTTAAGCCTAATTAAGTCCAGCCTAACAAGGAAAGATGACTTACACAAACAATTTGAGAATTATCAACAAATTAATTTACACAAAGAATGTAGGAAGACCTATATTCGCAGTTCCTCAATCAGATCATTTATTTCTATGTCTGCATGTAAAGAAACTACTTCTATTAGCACAGTGCAGCCTTCATCATCGTTTAATTCAAATTTACTTAATTTTGACTATAAAAATAAATGCTTGTTTTGTAGCAAAGAAATTGTTATTGACAAAAAACTCCAGAGCTATATAGAAAATATATTCGTTTGGTGCAAAACAAAAGTGTACAAAGTACGCTACTGAAATATACTGAAAATAGAACCGATGATTGGGGCGAGACTGTAAAATCGAGAGTGATAGGGGTTGCCGACTTAGTAGAATGCGAGAGTCGGTACCACTCAGATTGCTTTGCCAGATTTACCAAACCATCGTTGACCACAAAAAATGGCCGACCAGAAAACGAAGATTTAAAAGAAGCTTTCTTAAAAGTTTGCGAATATATCGAGGACAGTGATGACTGTCAACATCTAGTTTCAGACTTGGAAGAAATGATGAAAGAGTTCTCAGGGCAGAGCTACGGAACTCAACATTTTAAAAATTATGTTAGAAAAACACGTTTTTACCCTCATTTCTTGCAATTGCAAGAAATCTTGTAGAAACAACTGCAGCTGCTTCAAGGCTTCTTTAAATTGTACAGAAATGTGTGGAGTATGTGCGGGACAATGTTCGAACAGTGCAATAATAGAAGTGGACCTGGAAGATACAGCATAAGCAAGACCGTAGGAATTGGCAACTATAAGTGCAAACAGTGCTTCCTTCTGTCACAAGATCGAGAGATCTCTTCACTAGGGCTGACCTTGGTGCATACCTCAGATCTATATTCATTAAAAATGAATATTACATGTTTTTTCTATACAAGTTGTTTTGTTCTCCAATATCAATTGTTAAAACTAGGTAAATAATAATTTATTTTTGTTCCTTATTGTTTACTTATTTCTTGGAATGTTTCTTGTATCCTTGGTCTTGTTCCAGGATTGTTAAATTGTAAATAATACAAATAATATGATGAAAGAGGTAGTATTTAAAAATAAGTTGCCCTAGAGCAATAAATATTTATATATAAAGAGAACGCAGGCGTGCCTAGTCCCGAGCAGTATCGTCGTCGTCGCGTCGGTACGAGCCTCGGCGCGCGGTCGCGGCAGCCTGTGCACACTATACTTCAAATGTTAAGTCACAGGGCACAATACGAGCGAAATATGACAAGTCATATATCATTTTAAATCTTATAAACAGGAGAAAATATTTACTTGAAACCTCTTTATTAATGATAATTACTGGAGCCTTGTTTTAAAATAATATGCGTAAATATTCTAAATGAAATAGAAAAATTATGCATTTTTATTATTAAAGATAGAAATAACTATTTAACTAGTAAACTAATCACAAAACCTACTTATCATGTTCTTAGACCGTAGTTTTAGGAATCTAAAAACAACAAGATGTAAGGTCTATCTGAAATAGTTACTGAAATATAAGCGATTTTATAAAGTACTGCATTTATCCACCCTTAAAAAATTTGGAGGGCTCTAGGGAAAAAAGCAAGAGGGCTAGGGGTGGGGACTTTTGGCCGGAGACTTGTCTACATGGTAGTAGTCGATGGGAAAAAATCCAGCCTGTTAGTATTTTTTTTGTCTATCGGCCTATTTTAGGAACAGATTGACTGGACTATTACTAAAAAAACTCCCTTGTACAATTACTCAAATCACCCCCTTGGATTTGGCCCAAACTGAGGGTATTTCTTTTACACCTATTTATTATTAGTCTTACCCCCTCCACCTGTATTCATACTATGAAATACTGTACTAAGATACTGTGTTTCAGATGACAGACCCGGTAGTTCCGTCAGATGTAGAAGCATCTCACCACGTCCGTCTTCCATCACTGAAGAACCCGAGCCTCTCATACTCACGGAGAAGCAGCGGAGTCGTCAACGCAGCGGCAGCAGCCCCCCGCCACTCCCCCCCACACATGAGACACCCCCAGGCCCCCGTCAGGTGCGACTAGTGCGGCTCACACGGGGCCGGGCGGGGGAGGAGCTGGGGATTTACATCGCTAAGACTAGGTTCGGAAAAGAAGCAACTGTTGGATACGTCATTGCCCACATTGTACCTGGCGGACTGGCTGATAGGTTAGTGCTATTTTTTGTTTATTAATAAGATTTTAGAGTGCAGAATGGATTAAGTATCAACATTACGTTATTTTGCTACAAGTATTTCAAGTCTTTTTGGGCAGGTAAAATGGATGGTTTTATGTTAGTAGCAGCCCAGAGAAGTAAGGTATAGAGGAAACATTGAATGGTACGCTTAAGTGGTGTCTAGCACTAGTTGCTGGTGTCTAGGGTAAGGTCCAACACGCCCCTCTCGCCCTCATGTACTACAACGCTCACAGTAGCTGAAGACTGTACCCTGTGTGATAGGAATTTACCCATAGTGCTCGCCATTCGAGCCCTTCCACAAAGTAGTTTGCTTGTAGTATGTTTCCAAAACAACATACCAGAGCTGAAAGCACACGGTCGTCCCATAGGCTTGTTACCTCTGTACTTGACTTCTCTGTGGTAGCAGGAAACCTGAAGGAATATTTTTAAAATAGTAAATGCACTGATTCTCTCAATGTTTTTCTTGTATGATGTCAAACATTAGGGTAAATACAATGTTTAGTGGTAGGTCTAAAATAGAGAAACATCTTCACAATCCCAGTATATGTAGAAAGACAATGTTTTCAAGGCAATTGACAGTTATTTAGACAATTTTGGGATTTTTAGCATTGAAATAAGATTGCTTTAAACCTAAGCCGTTTTGTTTCAGAGAGGGTTCCTTGAAGATTAACGACGAAATCGTCAACGTCAACGGTCGAAGGTTACGAGGGCTGACAATGTCAGGAGCCAGAGAGGTCCTGCTTAGCGGACCAAATGAAGTAGACATAGTCATCTCTAGGGGTTGTGACCCCTCCACACCCCTACCTTCACGCCCCTCCCGCCATCCCTCCATGCCGGAGAGCTCTGTGGACTACGAAAACGTTTTAATCTTCCCCCAAGAACAAAATAAGAGATCGGTGTTCCTCAGCGAACTACTCACAGAAGACTCGCCTCCAGAAATAAAGAACACTCCTTCGTCAGAAAAAGTAGTGAGGAAAAGACACTACCAGAAAAACAGCAACAGTATAAACCATAAGCTCCTTAGAAAGGCAATAGCTAGCTATTCTGGCAGTAAGATCAGTTTGGACAAAGACTCTAAGAGTGAAAGGAATTTTTCATGTGATTCGTCACCGGAGAGGTTTGAAATTGAGTCTACAGCGAATTTCTGTACTTTGCCTCGAAGGCCACGATCTTCCATGTGTTCTTTCGACACCTTTATCTATGAGAAAGGTAATCAATTTAAAGTTATTTTAGTACGATTGAAATCTCAACAACTGTAAAATCTTTTATTTTTGTTCAAGGAAAGGAGGTTCTAGCTTAGGGTTTTTTTAGGGTTTTTTTTAGGGTTTTTTTTAGAATAAAGGTATAGCACCTAACTTAAAACTCACAGTAGTTAATCAAATATCAAAAAATGTAAAAATAGTAATTAGTTGATGATGACAAAATATTTAACCAAAGTACCATTTAATGTTGTGTTTTTTCTTTTGACAGTAATCTTTCCGTTTTGTATGTTTTGCGTTTTTCACAAAACCCTAGAAGAGGTTCACAAAAAAGTTTGTAACTCGAGTAAAAATTCAGATATTTTAATAAGTAAAAAAATCTTGGAATCAGCAAAAGATTTGAAATCTGGCCACTTGCCCCATGTCTCTTTTTCAATGCTTTATATATTTTTAACAGGCAGGGGTTACACTTGCCCCAAACCCTGGAGCAAGTGTAACCACAAAACGCAAAATTTTTAGTAACTTTTTTTACCAAAAAAGATTTTATTTTTTAATAACAATGCATATTGTTTTAAAGCCCATTAGTCAAAGTTTATGCATACAAATTTTTAGAACTATATACAAGATGGCAATTTGAGGTCAAAGCTGAACTATGCCAAAACGTGGTTACACTTACCCCACTTCACCCTACCTCCAATTTTTTGATACTATTTTTATAAGGGAAATGTAAATTTCTGTGTTTTTATTTCCCAACAATTAATTTACTTGTGATTGTGAAACGTTACTCCAATATTCTCTTTTGACCAATATAAAATGTCCTCTTTAATTTCAGGGCCTGGTAAGAAAAGCCTAGGATTTACAATAGTGGGAGGAAAAGACTCACCGAGAGGACCTCTTGGAATATTTATAAAAAGTGTTTTGGAAAACGGACAAGCGGCTGAAGATGGTCGGCTAAGAGAAGGTATTTGGAGTTTAATATTCAGATTTCACCCGATCCATATTTTTAGAAAAGTTTAACAGTAACGTAATAATTGTGATTATTTTTTTTTTATTTCAACCATATCAAGTTTTTTACCTGATTTTTAAGAGACTTCACACAGAAGGTTGCCTTTTCAAAATAACACTTTCCACATTTTTGCAATTTAAAAACAGGTTTTCCATGTTTGTTTGAAATCACACCGATGAAAAATCAATGACAAAATGCATTTTCACTAAAGTTAAAGGCAATAGCTTGGTCAATATGAGCCAAACCTTTCATACATTATATTTCATATAACTACACTGACACTCATTCACATCAGGATTAACTTTCAGGCATTTTTGTTTCTTAAACATTTAATCACATTTCTAGCACAAATTTGAAATGCTTAGATGAAAACATACATTATGGAATGCAATTCTAAAATGAATTTATAGGTGATAAAATACATTAGCTTGACACAGAAAACAATAGCAAGTAAGTTTACCTTTGAAGGTGGCTGGGATAGACTATCTGAATGAGCCCATTGTAGTAGAGGCATTGATAAAAGATAATGGTGCATTCACAAGGTTGGCAAGCCTGTAAGATAGTGGCTTCATTGACAACAGGCTTGAAAAATTACACTATGAATCATGTTTTTCTGTGAGAGTCTCTATCTATCTAGTTTTTTTTTTTGCTGGTTAAGTAAAAGAGTTTATGTTTAAAGGATTGTTGTGCACAATTTCCATAACTGTTTGACAGAGTGACGATGATGGTGTCCCCGTGATCACGGTGTTCACTGTTTCACCAAGATCGCGGGGAAGTTCCTCCCAAGGAGCAAGAGCCACTCGGGTTGGTATTGCCTCAGGCCACAAGTATCCTAAATCCGGCACTGCTGATTGGTAAAGATATTTCACATGTTTTTGATTGACAGGTGACGAGGTGTTGGCCGTCAACGGACACGTCTGTCATGACCTGACACACGCCGATGCTGTAGCATTGTTTAAGAGTATCAGAGCTGGACCTGTGGCTCTCCACGTCTGTCGGAGAATCAGGGTCAAGATGTAAGACAACTTATCATGTCAATCAATAATGTTGCTGGTTCACAACTCATTCAAGTGTTTCCAGACTTGCAAGTTTATGCCAAATTTAATCAAAATTACTCAAGTTATCATGTTCACGTACACACACACACATTTAAAAATTCAAACTAATAGTGTTTTTGGCCTCTGGGGACAAAAAAATGAAAAACCAAATCGGTCCTGGGTCTAATTCTTACCATGGTACATACAGTAATAGCTTCTTCTCTAAGGGAAATTTGCTAAATACCCCCGCCGCAGCAAACCTGCAGACTAAGCGAATTTCCATTTGACTGATTGGATTTACACTGAAATGTCTACTTAAAAATATAACATTTATTAAATAGAATTAGTTTAACAAGTACTTAGGTTTGCTGCATCAGGGAGGGTAAAACTGTTTTTTTGTAAAATGTTAAAAGTTAGTAAGAAAAATAAAACATTTTCCAAATTTGATCAAAATATGTTTATAAACAAGCAAACTACAACAGTTTACTTATATCTATATATATAAAATCCAATGTATGTTTGTATATTTGTATGTTTGTCCTTTATGGACTCCAAAACCGCTCGACAGATTGTAATGAAACTTTCAGGTATTATTAAGCATTATTCAAGGATGGTTTGTGTGAAGTTTGGTGCAGATCCGTCAATAGGGCTCCGCCCCAGTGGCTCTGTAGTTTCCCATGTTAACCTTATGAGTACTCATATTTAAATGGAATTAAAGAATTTTAACAGCTGGTGCAACTAAACAATTTGATTCTGTGATGTTCAATAACATTTAAAAGTTAATAGGTTTACCAACAGGGTGCAGCACTATATTTATTTTTAATTTATGAGAACAGTTAATTTGCAACCAAAAGGTGAGTGAGCGTAGCGAACAAACTTCAACCTGGAGGCGAGTTAGCGTAGCGAACGAGCTAACCTGAAGGCAAGTGAGCGCAGCGAACGAGCTCCAACCTAAAGGTGAGTGAGCGTAGCGAACGAACTTCAACCAGGACGTGATTGAGCCATGCGAACGAGCTCATCTTGAAAATGAACGAGCATGTGACATAAAACCACAATAGGACAGGACGACGTCTGTCGGGCCAGCTAGTTCTCCATAAGAATAACATGGGAATTTTAAATTTATAATTTTTTGGAATTTTCTCCGTAACCATTAGGCGCATAATCACGCTTCAATATACTAAATTATTTGTTTTTTTAAGCTCTACAAAATGGTTTGGAAAGAAATTGCTAAATTTTATGTTTTTTGGGTAAAAAATGGGAAAAACCTATTTTTACCCCATAAAACCCCCGTTCCCATGGTCCGATCATGCTGGATCGCGAACTCGTTCAAATAAACGTAGGTTTACACGTTTGTATCAAATTTCATCAAAATCGGATCATTTTTGCTCGAGTTATCATGCTAACGGACACATATATATATATATACTAGCTGTACCCGCGGGCTGTGCCCCGTTTAACTTCATAAGTGAGCTCGTTCGCATGGCTCAATCACGTCCTGGTTGAAGTTCGTGTACGCTCACTCACCTTTAGGTTGGAGCTCGTTCGCTGCGCTCACTTGTCTTCAGGTTAGCTCGTTTGCTACGCTAACTCGCCTCCAGGTTGAAGTTCGTTCGCTACGCTCACTCACCTTTTGGTTGCAAATTAGATGTAGTCATAAATTTTAAAAAATAACAGTGCTGCACCCTGTTGGTAATCCTTGTAACTTAAATGCTATTGCACATCATAGAACAGAACCAACTTGTTTAATTGAAACAGCTGTTAAGATTCATTAATTCCATTTAAATATGAGTACTCATAAGGTTAACATGGGAAACTCCAGAGCCACTGGGGCGGAACCCGAGAGTCCGATCAGAATAAAAATAAACGGTATCAGCATTCTGACACATACTTTCTCCCATAAGTTTGTCAAAAACCTTTATCATGTGTAAGTGGTGAGAGTAAATAACTGTAGGCCTATACGCAAATGGGATTTGTACAATTTTGTTCAGAATTTAAAGGATTATAACATGCTAAATTTTTTTCAAAATTGTTCAGGCCATTTTTGGGAAAATCCGATTTTTCTGTTATTTTATGGGGGTTTTATGGTAAAATGACATAATTTACAATAACTTTTGAACCGTAATTTTTACAGAAATGGGATTTGTACCATTTTGTTCAGAATATAAAGGACTATAACATACTAAATCTTTATCAAAATCGTTTGGGCCATTTTTGGGAAAATCATATTTTTTCGTTATTTTATGGGGTTTTATGGGAAAATCCCCATTAAAAATAAAAATTGCTAAAAAATTTTAAAAAACTATCAAAACTGTAAGGACTATAACATACTATGTTAAATCAAAACCGGATTTTTTTCTAAAATCCTATTTTTTGTTATTTTATGGGGTTTTTATGGGAAAATAACATATTTGACCATAACTTTTGAACGGTAATTTTTACAGATATGGGATTTGTACCATTTTATTCAGAATTTAAAGGGCTACATCATACTAAATTTTTATCAAAATCGTTCGGGCCATTTTCGAGAAAATCCGATTTTTCCCGTTTTTTATGGGTTTTTATGGGAAAATCCCCATTAAAAATAAAAATTTCAAAAAAATGAAAAAAAACGCCTGGAGATACCATGGATTAGAACCTACATACCAAATTTCATCGAAATCGGACCACAGGTGTGGTCTCTAGCTCTGTACACATCCAGACACACAGACACACACACACACACACACACACACAGACATCACTTCGAAAACCACTTTTTTGGGTCCAGGGTGACCCAAAACGAATATATCCACTCAAAACTCAAACTCAAAAATTTTGACGAAAACAATACTTTCTCCATATACTATGGTATAGGGGGAGAAAGTAATAGCTTAGTTTTCCTATTTAATACCTAAAGAATCAGTGTACCAAATTTCAGCCTCCTAGGTAAATGGGAAGTGGGAGAATTAGTGATGAGTGAGTGAGTGAGTCAGTGAGGGCTTTGCCTTTTATATATATACTAGCTGACCCGTCGAACTTCGTATCGCCTAAGTTATAGGTTTCCCCTAAGACAGACCGATGGAAAGAAAGTACCGTTACGTTTAATTTTCAAGATGATCTCGTTCGCATGGCTCAATCACGTCCTGGTTGAAGTTCGTTCGCTACGCTCACTCACCTTTGGGTTGGAGCTCGTTCGCTACGCTCACTCACCTTTAGGTTTGTAAAAGAAATAATAGTGCTGCACCCTGTTGGTAATCCTTGTAACTTTAATGCTATTGAACATCATAGAACAGAACCAACTTGTTTAATTGAAACAGCTGTTATGATTCATTAATTCCATTTAAATATGAGTACTCATTAGGTTAACATGGGAAACTCCAGAGCCACTGGGGCGGAGCCCGAGAGTCCGATCAGAATAAAAACCACTTAGTTTTCCTATTTAATGCCTAAAGAATCAGTGTACCAAATTTCAGCCTCCTAGGTAAATGAGAAGTGGGAGAATTAGTGATGAGTGAGTGAGTGAGTGTGTCAGTGAGGGCTTTGCCTTTTATATATATAGATATAAATATATAAATACAATATATATATATATATATATATATATATATATATGAATTTGAACGGATGGTGTTTTTGGCCTCTGGGGTCTTCAAAATGAAAAAGTAAATCGGTCCCGGGCCTAGGTCTTACCATGAGACCTACGGTAATAGCTACTTCCCTATAGGGAAATTCGCTAAAAGAAGAATAAAGTTATGGGTCCACTTGCCTGTGGCAGGACAAGGAGAGGTTTGTTTAAATGTTCACATCTCTGAAGCAAGAGTAACTAAATAAGGGTCACTTTTGTTCATTCAATAGGATGAATCCCTTTAAAGTTTTTTCAACTGTCTGTAGGACAGCCTATGGAAATGGCACATAAAAAATGTTAAGAGAATTCTTGAGATGGTAAATTCTTAACAAGTTTCACTTGTAACTATGTATACAGTAGACTCCCTCTTATCCGGACACCTTTTAACCGGTCATCGGATTAATCGGACTACACTCGGCAGAAACGATTTTAATCAGCACATTGGTTTTACCGGACTAGATCGGCAGGAAGTGGGCAGTACTGGAACGACTGTTCTCGTGGGATGGATTTGAGACCAGTGATCACGTGTCTAAATACAATGCTCTCCTAAATTTAAGTCAAATACTGTATACAGTATGCATTTAAATGGTCCGTTTTAACGAGTTTTTGGAGACGTCGGTTTAACCTGAAAATCCGTTATCCGGACTGGCCTCGGTCCCGAGGAGTGCGGATTAGAGGGAGTCTACTGTACCTATATTTTCTGTGTGTCTACTGATTTTTTAAGACTGACAACTTAAGCAAACAATGGATAACTGCACACTGATTTACAACTACATTTTATGTCTTTACATGTCATATTTTTATTTATTTCCCTCTTTCACTCTTTGCCTGTTGCAGGTCAGACAAGGCCAAGTCGTGTACAGACCTAGCACTCAACACCAGCTGAGGGTTGGCTATCTACTTTGACAACAATCTTTACTAGTCATGACCATTGTTACTGTTGATCCTGTAAATACTGTTGCATAAACGACTGATGCTTCGCTGTTGAATGTTTTGTACAAATACTTTCTATGTCTATTTGTTTAAGACCTTTTGTTTATTGTTGTGATCAATGGTACTGAATTATATTTTTGTGTTGGTATCCACAAGAGTACTTAATCTCAGATTTTTTAGAAAAGAATTATAATTGCAAGATTTTAGAAAAATTAAATAGGAATCGACACAAAATAAACACAGAAGAAATGTAATTCAACCAGATAGGGGAAAAGCATCCACTCATTTTACTGCGTTCACACTGATGCAGGCAATCCTGCGCGTGTTCTGTTGTTAAGTCCTGTAGAGCAAGATTTTGATTTACCCTGTCTTTTCCAAGTGGGTAAACCTTTATTCTGTGGCAATAGTATTTTTATACTTTAAAATTATTCCTTGAGTTTTAAGGCTAAGATTGACTTTTCCGCCTGTTTGTTTTTATATGGCAATATTTAATTTTAACTTTTATCTTGTGTAGTAGCATAGTTTATCAACTATCTACTGGTTATTACTCTTGGATGGTTTGAAGTTTAAAAGAACATTTGGTCCATTTATAAGCTTTGTTCACTCGTACCAATACGTATAAGAGAGGACATAATGCTAATAGTTGTTGCCGATTTTGGCCACGTAGTTTGGACCGCTGACGCTTGGATCGCGGTAGTCGGTCCGTAATACAGTGGGCCTCTGAGCATCTTCAAATCATTTAGTAATAAAACTCATTATACAACAAAACTACGACCAAACAAACAAATTTCATCAACAAAAACTACATTTTACAACCTACAACACAATATTAATAAAAACAACTAAACTGCATTACCGATATGCCGTAGTTCGGGCCGCTGACGTTACTCTGCAAAAGCGCTGTTCAGGAAACGGTAGCCCCAAATGAGTGTCTACTCTAGTACGTGTGTACTGAATTTTGGTACTAACATCCTGTGTATGAGGTTTAGTTGAAGATCCAACCACATGGGGAAAATCGCTATGTGAACTTACAACAATTCTTAACAACATGTACAATAAAGGAATATAGTACCATTTTTGTTTGTGAGAACGAACATACTGTTTATATTTAGGACCACCTGTTCTTAAAATGCTTTTTAATCATTATTGAAATGACAGTAAAATGCATTAAATTTTTACACAATTTAAAAAAAACTCAGCTGAAAATCAGGGCTTAGTTTCATAAGCCACTGTGAAAAATTCCTGCCACACTTTTGCTACAGAGATAGAAATATTTATTAGACAAAATAAATGTATATTCAGAAAAATATATTGTTGGTAATGTAAAAAGCTGTTATAATTATTGTTGTACAATAAAATACTATTATGAAATTCAAGTGTATTCATTTTTTAAATTGTCTTTTAGAGAATATTCCTGCAATGAGATTTGAAATTTAATTAATTATACTTTCTAAAGTGGATTTCAACGGACCTTTACAACTGAACAAATGCCACTGGCTAACTCGACTAGCAAAATATAGCATTGATTATAAACAGGATCAAAGAAAACAAATATTTTCAATATTTACATTATTTATATTAAAACATAAATATAAATAATCATATAAAATACATTAATGCACAATGATTAACAATTTACAAGACTATTTTTCAATTTTTACAAATTATGCTTATTATTTCAACTGTTAAATACATTATTGTTTGGGATTAGGTTTTATTGGAGTTGGGGTTTGGTTTACATACAGGGATATAAAATTACTTACAGCAATTGAAAAAGAACATTTGCACTGTGTTCAATTTGTCACGTTGCTATCCAATACTATCAAGTTTTTATTTTGTAATTTTTTTGTCAAAATTCATGTGAATTGGAACTGAATTTTTTTTAAAGTTCTTGACGTTTACACAAAAATTTGCAAAATTAATTTAAATGAAATTAAAAAAACATACTTTGATCGGTAAAACTCATAAAATTTTATTCAAAATCCCAAAAGTTTAGCAGAAATTGTAAGAAACTATTTCAAACAAGCGTAAAAAATTAAACCTAAATAAGCGAGACCAACCACTGATATCACAGCACAAAGATTCTTACAGGTCGTTACAAAAAGGGAAAATTGTTTCAAACAATCTTAAACATCTATCAAACATAAACTAACTGCGAGAGGAATCAATAAAGGGGTCAACAATGTTGATACACTGATGATATGCTATTATTATTAGAGAAAGTTTGTACAATTTATACAGACTAACGTGAAATTCCAACATTGAACATCCAACATTGCTTGTAGTAGCTGTTTGGAAAACATCGAGTTTGATATTGGATCAAGTATCGTGTTCAGACTGAGTATGGACCAATCAAATACAAACGACTTAAAATGTTTACACCCAGAAAATGTATTTTGAAAATAAATGTAGGAACCAGTTTTAATGATTAATTATACATTTTTGCTACAAGAAAGAAATGTGAAATGCAATAGCAACTCTTTGGGTTGACTTGTTATGTGAAAAGCTGAAAATATATCTACTAAAACTGTCGAAACAGGTAATCTTTTTTGTATTGTTTCATAAAATGCCAAGGTTTTGTAAAGAAATTCAACTCACCTATGAAACAATCACATATGTGTTATCTTAGCTTTATGCTAAAGTGTGTAATGTGACATGAGTATGTAAAATACAAAGAGGAAAGATTTTACTACTGACACTAGGCTTTCCAGGCACTCTAGTTTCGTTCTTTTTGAAGAAATAAATAAAAACAGTGATAAAAACATGAATAACTAAATGTTTAGTCTAGACCAATAGGACTAAAAAAAAAAATCTTTAATGTTTTTATACTAAATTTGATTTTGTGTATTTAAAAACAAATTGAAATATTTCAATTGCTAAGTGAAAGAAAATTCAGCTAAACAAATTTTTCAAACGAAAAAAATGTTATGTCTTGAGCTTATAAAGTGTATTTACCCACTTCAGGCAAGTATGAAAAAATATTATATACAAGTAGTTGATTGAGTTTGATAAGTACAACTTTTAAAGTTTATACTATTTGCGTGAGTGGTGATTGAAATTGTTTTTTCTCTCTTTATAATCTGTGAATAAAAAAAACCTTCACGATGAAAATTTTGAATTAATGTCATATAATAGCGATAAATGTTAGTTTTAATTATATTGGTTACACTTTATCATTTAAATCCTATACATTTTCAGTTTGAGACTAAAGTCTCGAAAACAAGCTTAAGACAAGTTTACAAGCTACTAGACAGCGAGTGAAAGCAGGCTTGTCGGCAAGTATGATATACAACTCCTGTTATTAACTTATTCCTCCGAAATCATCAACACTAATCATTCTTGTCCCTTGTAAAGCTATGGTTCCACAGACTGCGGAATCTCTGCCGTGCGATGCCAAATTTTCCACTGCGGAATTACAACGACACTGGTTTAATGGAGTTCCCCTGTGTGCGGTTCCACTGACGTGCGTTTATGCATCCGAAATTTTCGGTTCCGCATGGCTGACAAATCATACTGGTCTGAGAGCAGTGCAGTGCGGAATCCGCCAGCGGAGAGGAGCCATCAATTATTTGACAAACAGAAGTACCGCTTTAACTTTGTTTTGTTGTCTACTAAATGTTTATGAACGAGTATGTTGTAAGATTCTTCACTGTCCCGATTCTTAAATATATCACTCTGATCACTATGACTTGACACCAATAAAGATAAAAGATCGACATCATCATCAATAAACATATTATCAATATACATACAGCATCAAAGCCAAGAGGGCTCTCCTCTTCCTATCCATACTCGTCGCTAGTTTGGACAGAACTGAATTTTTGCAACCTTATTTCCGCAGTCAGAGAAACCACCCCTTCGGATTTTACGAGTCGTAATTTCCGCAACGAAAAATTTCACAACACACGGCAGAATTTCCGCAGTCTGTGGACCATAGCTTAAAGCAACACTTTGATAGTTTTACCATCTAGTCTGCTTTATCCAAGAGAAGCTGTGCGGTGAGTTAGTGTACTCAAATACTAGTATAAAAAAGCCAACAATCTGCATAAAAAAACGCAGGAAAGAAGCTTGTAAACCTGCCCTGTGTAATAGAGCCTTTATACACATTTTCAACTTGTGGTCGATTACAAATATTTTCAGTAAGTATTTCTCTAAATTAGTTGTGATGGTCGCTGATCATAAAATATTTTTACATACCCATAAAAAGAGGTAACTTTGAACACACAATACATTACCAATTAAAACCACATAAAGATCCAACCCAGAACCATCACTAAGCAAGTAAAGACGTCACGTATGAATCGGCTAGTAGCTACACCAGAATCTAGGTGCGCTGCTGTCGCTGTGATTTGTAAGTTAACATTTTAATCGTTTTAGAAATCAGCTGATAACATTGTAGTGTTGTCAGTTTTCTCTTGTCCCCACATCCAGCCTATCCTTTTAGCGACAGCAGTGCTTCTAGATTCTGGTAAAGAAGCTAGCAGACTCAAATGCAACGGTTTTACTTGCTCAGTGAGGGTTCTGGGTTAGCTCTTTATTCTGTGTAAACTTAAAGAATAACAGCTGGTTACATTTCTAAGAGTTTAGAGAGCATGCTTCCAACAATTATCTACGTCAACAACTAATCAATAGTAAAAAGAATTAAAATGTTAAAAAATTTATAAGGGAATTCATAGAGATGATAAACTATAGTTCGGCCGCTTAGAAAACGACCTCCTCTAGCATTGGTTTAGCATTAGCGCGCAGGTCGCTTTCTAAGCGGCCGAACTATAGTCAGAAACTCAATAAAATTTTAGAGTATATATAATGTTGACTTCATTTTGTAGACAACCTAATTGTTTTATCTGAATAATAAAAAAATATTTAAAACAATTAAACATTCAATATTACCCAAGAGATACTTTACTAAAAGTAATGAATGGTCTGTGGTCATACTATATTTTGGTCTTGGTGTATTCCAAACCTTAAAATCATAGAAAAAAAAACAATTGTTAAAATACTTACTATAACGAAAAAACCTCATCTCTCATTGATTACATGTGTTTTAAAGCAATGTAAGTAAACATTTGCAATCATAACTACTAATGCTTAATAGGAGATTGAGATTTTAATTTGATGGATTTACTGCAATACAGTCAAATTAAAAAAATTACCTTTTTATACTTAAACACATTTTTTGACATTCAGCTATTAAATATTTTTATCTTCTCTTAGAAATTGATTTAAAAACAAAAAAAAACTCTACATAGACTATAAAATTAAAATATTTAGGATCATGCAAATAAAACTCTAAGAAAATTATTAAGCGTACAAAGAACATACAAAACATAAATATGATTAAAACAATCTACATAAAGGCTAACAAATTCTAAAAATAACAGTAAATAAAACTAATAATATCAAATTCTTAAATTAACATGGTGTTAATTAGAGAGTAATCTACAATGACTTATAAATACGTTTAGTAATTTTCAGATCACAAAGCTCAGATTTAGATTACTTCTAAGATGCCTGCATTAATTGTCAGTTGGCTTAAAAATAATACAAGAATACTAGTAAATCTAAATAAAATATTTATAAAAGCTTTCCATCAATAAACAATAACCCTAACAAGATTTGACTAAGACCAGCTTGATTCTATATGGGACTCTTTTAGGGTGGTGGTCACATAGAATGACCCCATTCCCACAGATATAGGAACAGTTTCGTGATACCGATTTGCATTGTATCATTTGGCTTCCTCGTCAAAATTAAATGCACTAAACGCCTCGGTCCATTTGAATGGATCGCTTTTTTTGTGTTTGTCATCTTTGCTCTTTTTCAGTGTCCCACTGGAGGATTCTGTACTGAAAAAATCATCATCAAAAGGATCACCACTTCTAGCAAAGATGTTGACCGAATCCGACTTTAAAGATGATTCATTTTTATGTTGATTGGAGACTCTTTTGGATTCAAGAGCCTGCTTTCTGTCATTTGAACGTTTACTGGCCAATTCATCACTTAAGAGTTCCGATTCAGTCTTGAGTTTGCCTACATTTTGATCGTTAATTGTACTTTTTGTTTTCCTTTTTGAAGCTGAAAGATCTAAAACGTTCTTTTCAAGCTTTGTTCGTGGCCTATTAACAACATCGTTACTAGAACTACTCGCTAAAAATACATCATCATTAGATCTATGGTCTTCTGAAAGCACTCTTTTGTCGCTTAATTCGCTTGAGTTATTCCTATTACCTGTTCGCCTTGCGTCTTGAGGAGTAAAGTCATCTTCAAACGGTGACTGACGACTCCTAGGGGTAGGCACTCTACCATCAGAAGGACTAAACTCAGCACTGTCAGAAAACAGTTCTTTTCTTTTACCCACATCATCTGGTGACGAGTGTGTTGGCTTTTGCTGGACGGATTTACTTCCATGATCTGAAAAATCAGAGCCAGCTCCTGGACTCCTATCACTGGAAAATACAAAGTTCGGTGATGAGAAATCGTCTTCAAAAGGAGAATTCTGACTTCTTTTTTTATTTCTATTGACTTTTGAACGATTCTGAAGAGTCTGTGACTTCCTCGCCCAATGGGTGTCTGATTCAGCGATGTGTTGTTCCTCTCGACTAGAAGGTCTGACGTATCTTCTGTCGTATTGCTCTTCCTCACTGTTCCTCGCTGTTGATCTGGGCCACACTTGCTTCCGAGTTTGACAACGTGGTGAATCTTCATCACCTTGTTCACTAAATTCATCTTCCCATGGTGACTGAGATCGATCTCTATAATAAGGATAGTTTCTCCTTCCTGGATCTCGTTCACGCCAATCCCTCCTTGGATATCCTGACTCTTCGTACCTCCTTCTTCTTCTATCTCGATAATTCCTTCGAGAGTACCTTTCATCGTCTTCCCAAGTTAACGATTCTCTACTACTTCTCCTTTCTCCTTCAGTACTCCAGGGGGATGGTCTTCTCTTTCTAGAATCATCTCTTCTAGAATCCTCTCTTCTAATATCGTCTCTCCTCGGATCTTCTCTTCTTGAATCTTCTCTCCTTGGATCTTCTCTCCTCGAATCTTCTCTTCTAGAATCCTCTCTTCTTGAATCTTCCCTTCTCGAATCTTCTCTCCTTGAGTCTTCCCTTCTAGAGTCATCTCTTCTAGGGTCTTCTCTTCTTCTTTCTTCATCCCATGAAGAGCCTCTATGCTTTGGTCTTGCCTGCCATGAGTTTTCATCCCATCGTTTGCCCTCCCACTGGTCTTCACTCAAGTCCCTATCGTCATCTTCCCAAGGTGAAGGATCTCTTGATGATTTCCTCCAAGGTGAAACTTTACGTCGTCTACCTCTTCGTTGTGAATGATATTGAGGATGATGCTTGAAATCGTAAGGAGGAGTGTCATCATACATGGAGTCACCATCACTCCATCCATTTTCTCTCCAAGGAGGTTCGCCCCATGAAGGATTTCTACTTCTACGGGTCTCCCATCCCTCTTCAGATTCATCGTCTTGCCATTCGCTAGGTGGAGCTTTGTGACGTCTTCCTTTACGAGACTTTTTCTCTGGCTGAGTACTCCAAGCAGGGGAAGTTCTATCTCTTGGGACTTCTTTACCCTCGACTGACCAAGGGGAGACGTTTCCTTCACTATGTACGCTGTTTGGTTTTTCTTCTGCAGGGCCATTGTCAAATTTGGCCCAACCATCACCTAAGCTATTATAGTCAATCTCTTTATCCTTGACGCTATTACATACAAAACTATCACCCTTCAATGACTGCAAGGAACTTACACTAGGTTCTTTAGGGACTTTCTGCACAGGTGAGTCAGATCCTGCGATACTTTCGTTGGACTCTGCAACTGTTGGCAACATGTTACCAATCTCTCCAGTTGTGTCTGGCCCGTCATCATCATCTAAAGCACTTGCATCCTCCTCAAGTATCGTTGATTCCATTATTGATTGGGTTTCTTTTATTGTTGCTGTTGGTGAATCGGTACTTTCACTATGAGGTCTTGATAATGTTAGAGTATCCAACTCATCTTCACACCTTGTAACATCATTAATACTATCTTCTTTATCGCTCTCCTTATCTTCTAATTCATCTAAATCATTTTCTCTTGAAATGTCAAAGTCATCTAAAATAATATCTCTTAGAGCAGCATACCTGTCTTCTGAGGGTTTCGTAAAAGGTTCAGCTATTTGGACTTCTTTAATTGATACATTACTTTTAGTTTCAAGTTCATGTTTGATTTCAGGTATAATTTCATCCTCTTTTTCTTGCAGAAGAGTATGTGGAGGATCCTTAGCTGTTGAGGAAACAGGTGGGCTGTCAAACAGTGTCTTTTCTTGTTCCAGTAGTTCCCTGAAAACAGCATACTTATCAAATAACGATTCCTCCTCTTTTTTCTTTTCTGAAAACACGCTGAAATGTGAATCAAATTCAGCTTTAAAGGGGGGTGTGTCCTCATCAAGAGATTCCCGAAGCGCCGAATACTGTTCACTCTTCAATACATTTTTTCTAATTTTACCATTGTCTTCAATAAACTCCTCCGCAGAAGGGTTTTGTTTCTGCGCGTCAGATAAGTTTTGCAAACATTTAGTTAGTTCTTGTAACGTCATTTTAGACAGACTAGTGGGTGACATATTTAGAGTCGCAGCTAAGTCACTAAACCCTGTCTTACTCAACTGACTCAATGTTATGTCCAAAGAATTAACTGCATTTTTAGGTAATGGTCTAGGAGACACAGATGAATCTCTCGAAGTAGAATTTTTAGGGGATAAGTTTTTCTTTTGAGGAGGGGGAAGCAGAGGAAAGGGAGTCAGATAATATTCTGGTTCGTTGTGAGATGACAGACTTGTCTTTGAAGGTCTGTTAGGTGCTGAAGATTCATCTCCTCCAAAGCGTGGTCGGCGGGCTGGTACCGGAATAGGAGGACTTTTTGAATCTGAGAAAATTTCACCCGAGGTTTCGCAGTTCTCGATGTAATCATAGTGCGGGTGTTCATCAGTGTGAGGAGGTCTAGGTGGAGGTTTAAGAACAGCACCTTGCAACTGACGTTTCGGAGGCAATGGCGGGGGCTTGATAAGAGTACTTGTCACTGCAGGCCGAGGCGGGGGCTCCGGAGCTAACTCTCCAAACAATGACACAGTGGGAGGAGAGGGTGTTCCTCTACCTTTGTTTCTCAATGTAACACCCTCCATCACCGGTGAACTTCTGTCAAACGTAGAATCTAACGTAGTCTGCTTAGTGATCCGAGACCGAGCTTTCTGTTTGGGACTTGGTAGTTTGACCAAGCCAGATAACGTTGTTTGCTTATGAAGTCTAGCATATCTGCCTTTGTTTCTTGAAGAAGGAGGACTCGGTGACTGTTTGGGCGAGCCCAAGTCTAGCGAGTCGCTAAGTTTCTCTGGTGGAAGGGACACTCTCAGAGGGCCGTGCACAGAAGGGCTTCCCTCAGAAAGTTGAGGTGACTTTCTATTGGGCGTATCAAAAGAACTAGCGGCACTAAAATCTGACTGTTCTGAAAAATTACTGAAATCTGCGAACCCTGTGTCGAATGGATCTGCATTCAAATTAGGAGTCACTGAAAATCCGGCAGAGTTAGAAAAGTCACTGTCAACAAAAGGATCAGTTTTATCAAAGGGATCATCACCAAATGGGTCAGTGGCATTGGATGCCAGAGGAAATGAATCTTTAGCTTTGACCTCCGTCGGTTCAGAGCTGCTATCAAAACTAACTTGAAAAAGAGGCGGAGTACCTTCCTTGCCGATCTCGGGTACAAGATCTTTAAGTACCTTTTTTGGTGGATTTTTCAATTCTTGAAAGAAGTCCTTCTTGTCGATGTATGGTTTTATTTTACCTGTGCCCAAGGGATCCAGATCCGTGAAAACATCAAACTGATCCTTGAGTAAGCTGCTTTGAATGGATTCTTTGCATTGAGTTGCTTCTTCTTCCTTTTCCGCAACCTGAAACACAAACAAATTATACAGCAATTAGTTTTGATAATGTTGCATGAACACATAGTTCTTACTTTGGATTGAAAAACATTTTAAAAATAAATTAACTGGCCAGAACTAATCACTAAAGCAGGAAGATTAAAAAAATAGTCAACAACAAATGATTACTCATTTAAGTGTGCTTTGACTTTTTGAATCATTTCACCAATATATTTACAAAATAGGTTATTTGGAAGACAAAAATATATTTTAACTATGTTTAATTTGAAATTTTACTCGGCAAACAAAATTCAAAGCTAAAAAAACTTTACAAATGGAAAAACAAAACATGCTCCCATTTTACATAATTGATCATAAAAACAAAATTAAGTACTTAAACCAAATGTAGGCTATACAAAACAAAAACCACGTATGAAATCAGTGGTGACGATTGTGGGGGAGCAAATAAAGTTGTATTTTTAGGAGAATATCTTGATAAATTAGTATAATGTTTAAGCATAACACAACCGCATTCCTACCATGTGAATTCACTCAGACTTCTAACAGTCAATCGCCACCACTGAATGTAACAATACACAACTCAACAAAAAAAGCCACACACTAAATGCGAAACTGAACAAAAACACAAGCAAGCACGAAAAACCATAAGTTGCAGTGCACATAAAATGAGAAAGCATGATGGCAGTGCGAAAATGAAATAGTTTCAATTTGTTTCGAACTAACCAAATAAAAAACGTAAAAATAAACTTTTGACTTGAAAAACTAACCTTATTAGTCGGAGCGGGGACGGGGGGAGCAGTTAAGGGAGAGGTCGGTATTTCACCGTCATCAAACAATGCTTCGGTCTCTCGGTCGAACCAGTGCTGTTCTTGAGCGGGGGGTGGGGGGGAGGGTTCGCGGTCTAGCCAAGATCGCTCTTTAGGCGAAGGAGTAGGTTTGGTGGGAGGGGGAGCCAGCTTGGTCACGGAGGGAGCGAACGAGTCTCCGAAAGGATCAGAGGGTGTTATTCGCTCCATCTGATTTAACCCTTGCTGAATATTGTTCAATTCAAACTCTAAATCCAACAGGTCTGCGATTGCCTGAAAACGTAAACGAGGGATAAGCTATGTTGGCAAACCCGTTTAAGCGGTTTTTCAAATAGGTATATATTTTAAAATTACTATTATTCAGGCAACAATATTTAGACTGAGTCAAGAATACTTGTAAATTATCGTTAGTTATGAAAACTTAATCTAAAAATTGCATAATAAAAGAAATTTATAGGCTTATATTTATTTGAACCTTTTACATAAACTTTATTTTTTGAAGTATTTTAACTAGAAGCTTTCTGAAACTATTAGGTTTCTATTGGTTCCTTCTGACATCAGTAAATTTATTACTACAAGAGTTTAAGATGTGCACAGTACACAACACACCAGATAGACTGCAGCAGTGAATGCATGATATGTTTGTGCTTTAGACATTAGACAAACAAATAAGTGAGTAGATCGGTTAGTAACACTGAAATATATACACATTGGTTGTGAGGAATCACAAGTAATCCCATCGCAGCTTTCCTACTTAGCAAATTGGTTAATTAAACGGTTTTACACAAATGGGGTTTTTAGTTGAAATAGTTCAACAGGTAATAACAAAATTACGACGGACAGCACACTATGTGCTACCATCAACGACTACATATTCAATTCAATTCAATTCAATTATTTAAGATGGGGACATAACTGTCACAAAAGATATTTAAAGGAAAAATGAATTTGTTTGTTCCTAAATAAGAACTAAATAAAGTAAAAACAGCCCTAAATCAGTCATACCGAGCTGAACAAATTTTCATTCCAAATTAATCGTTGCAGAGAAAATTAAGATAACAAGCAATAATGAATGAAGAGTTGCATGATAGGTAATCTCAGTTGGTTGTCACTAAGTCTGCAGGAAGACAGGTCCTTAATCCTAATAAATACATTTAGATTGAGTTTTTTTAAACAGAATTTATTTAAATAACTATGTAAGGGTTTAGGTTAGAAACATTGTTGTATCAGGATTAAGTCATAAGATCAATGGTCCATAAATTCACATGGTTTGCAAGTGCCTAACTATTGTCATAAAAACACAATTTCAAACTTAAAAGTCAGGAGAAATCAACAAAAAATGGAAATGATTGTGAATGAAATGATAAAAATGTAGTTATTTCTCAAAATCAGAAGAGTGCAAAAAACTAAGTACAGCAAAACAAAATTGATAACTTTCAACCAAACATGTATCCCGACTTTCTACAACAATTTACAGATTCCTTCACCATTGCCTATTCCTCTAAAACACAGATGGTGGCTAAATTATTGTAGGTTTTTTTTGCGAGCATAGAAATGAGACACCTTGTTTTGCCTAAGGCTAGGTTCGCATAAAGGGATTTTGCCGTCTGGTTGAGCCGTATGTTCCAACAACACATTGAATCAAATAGGTGGTTACATACAACACATGGGCTAGCCACCTGGACGATTTACCCGCATCACATCGTGGCTGGGCCGTGAGAAGTTAAACCGTGTTGAACGGGTTGACACCCACAGTCTTATAAGAGACACCAGACGTCACCGTCAATTGTCATACGATAATACAAAAAAACTCTAAACTATGGTTTTGCAAGTGCTCGTAAAAAGTTTGAAACACTTTTATCTGGTATGAAGTCGTGGATCCAGTGATTTCTGTTAACTTTTGGTTCCAGCTTACCACACGCCTCTAACGCACAAACTGACATCAGTGTTTTGCCCATGAGTAGAATGAAACTTGTTTTACTACGGATGATGTAGGTGAGAAAAACCGGGTCCGCGGAATTGGCTAACTCTGGAACTCGCTAACCCCATGTTAAATGCCCTATCTTCAAATTTGGTCGATGAGAGGAACTCGCTAACTTGTTCGGTTTCGGAATTGGCTAACTCCGGAACCCGCTAACCCGCTCTAAAGCCGGGTTAGCGAATTCCGTCCTCGTACGGAAGTCGCTAACTCGGTCCCTCGGCGGAACTCGCTAACTCCCAATCAGAAGCCTCGCGGGCCGTCCAATGGGAGCCAAGCACGAATATTTTTGGCCAGTGTTGCCGAAAGTGTACTACCTATATCGTATCGGTACCATAATGTCGTATCCTACGATTAATTAGGAGTAAGAACAACGTAGTCGATAAAATAAATATATTTGGAAGTATGTTTAACATTATTCTTATGGTTATTAGGGTGGAAAATGCATTATAGTCTTACCATAGACTAACCAACACAAGTAAACTTTACATCCCTTTGTAAACTTTGAAGCTCGTTTTTCGTGTCTAGTTCATGTCCGGTGACACTGATCGCTAGTGTCGACAAAATTGTGTTTCTATCATTTTATAGTTAACTTCATGATTTGTTCCTTACTGTTTGGTTATATAACTAGGGGACGTGTTATTAGTTGTGATTAGAACGTTTTATTTGGTTAAACGAGGTTTTAAATTACTGAAAACAAGAAACAATTGTAAACAAAACACGACCTCTAAAGACAGTGCACCGGACAGAACTACTCAATGGAACAATACAACTGTCTTCAGATGATCCATAAGGATTAGAAATGTACTAATATAAGGGAGTATGTTTTATATGTGGGTTTCTTACTTAAATAGTAGCTTATTGGTATGAAAAAGATAAAAATGCACATTTAATTTGGATCTATTACATGTTATGAAATATCTATTTTCGTAGTCCGCCATTTGTTTCTTTTATTCGAATAAATACCATTTTGTGAACTTCTGCAAATAAAATTTTTGAGTTCGTATTTTATATACTGGGCTTGTAGTAACCTTAAATCATAATAAAATTTACACGTTAAACGTCATTACAGAATTACATTGTAGTGGTTACGTATTTTTAAATAGAGCTATTGAATTTAAATAAATATTTATCAATACATTATAAAGTGGTAGGCCTAATGTATTCATGGATTGCATTAAAAGTTGGTCTATGCATAAATACAACTTGTAAATTTCTTTTATCGTAGGCTATTAGTGTAGAACCCGGGTCATCCTCTTAATTTTGTTGAATTAATATTAATTTTACGTCTTTCAGTAGGCTTACTTTTTAAAAGTCTGGAGTTTTTTTTTCAGGCTGGTTCTATCTTATCCAAAAACAAAGCTATTGTCTATTGTGTAGCTCAGTACTGGGGAACAGTGAACCGAGCAATGGCTTGCTATAGTTTATATCGTTTGTGAAAGCAATATAAAGGAAACCCAACACTCAAATCAGGAAAATCCGTCAATTAGTTTATTAAAAATCGTGAATTAAAATAACCCTGTCACGTTTTATTATATGAATATTATATCTTCTCCTATTTTTTACTAGTGGTGCTTAGGTGTACAATCTAAAAACTGTTTTAAAACATGTAACATTATTGCTAAAAAATTCAACACATTTTAGAATTAGGCAACTATTTACTAGTAGGCCTACAATGCTTTGGTTCAAACTATTAGGCCTAGATAATAACTTAGTCTATGTCATCATATGTGTACACGTAAGTTGGACGGTTCAAAGACGAACATTAAATTTAAAATCTATGAATTAATTATGAAAGTTACGATGGTTGATGACTGGGATGTATTAATTAATGGTTTTGGTTTATTACAACATTACAATTAAATCTGTTTTCCGTGTTTAAGAACTTGCGTGTATTTTAGCTTAATTTCGTAGAGGTTTAATTATTTATTACCAATTAAACTAAATTTTGAATATTTTTCATATTCTATTATTTTCTTTTATACTGATGGCATTTATATTTAAGATCGAAATCATAAACATTTAACTGGCCATTGTACAGTTTTTTAATTGTCTTTTAATTACTTTGGGCTAGTTATCTGTTAAAAGTGGAATTGATAACAAAAAACAATAACATTTACTGTATCTTTATAGACACTGACATTTTGAAATACGGCAGTGTACGATTATTTTGTCGTACAAGGTTGGCACCGCTCCGAGCAGTGGGCGCGGCCGGGTTAGCGACTTCCAGAGTTAGCGAATTCCGCCGCGAGACAAAATCGAGTTAGCGGGTTCCGGAGTTAGCCAATTCCTGACTGAGACGGTTAGCCAGTTCCAGAGTTAGCCAGTTCCGCCACACGACCGAGTTAGCGAGTTCCTGAGTTAGCCAATTCCTACGTCTCGAAAAACCCAATAGGAAGCGGTTCAACTGCGCCGTGTATTGACACTGACCGCGTGGCTTAACTTCGCGTTTTTCACTAACGCAAAACTACGTGTGGCCTTAGCTTCAGATTTATTTTTAATGAGTCGTTTTTTTAGAAGAGGTAGGATTCAAACACCAGATAACAGATCAAGGCCAAAAGCAGACATTATTAGGATTTTAACCCAGTCTTGGAAGATAACTGTCCCGTGCTCATCCGAAACTAATTTTATATGAACTCTAACAACTTTATACAGTATCTCAATAATGTATATTTACCATTATGGCTTCCAGTCCATCTCGGTTATTACAAATGATTCAAAATTATATTTTTATAACAATTTTAATATAAAGATAATAGGAGCCAATGAAGGTCCTACTTCCAATTTTTACATGGAACCGTGGAGCAAAAGTTTTCTCTATACCGACTAAAAATATAGTACATTTGAGACACCTATATTAGGCTACATTACTTTAAGAAATTCAGAAATTTAGTAAGATCTTGTTTAACAATTACTATTGTGATTCTCGTTAATCGTTTGAATGAGTTTGGATGAGTGGTGGCATGCATAAGCTTTTGCAAAGATTTTTTAACATATCTAACTGGCTAGAAAGAGGTTGTAAAACGAGATTCTTAGGGAAATCTTTTTTAATTTTCCATATATAGTAGGAAATTTAGATGAATTGCTTGATGTTCATGTTCATGTTGTACAGCAAATGTAAATGAATAATCATTAAAACGGATAGGATTGGCATTTAGAACACTTCATAAGAGGGAATTTTGAAAATTTGTTTGTTTGGATTTGGCATTCAGATTATCATGTATTTTTTTCCAAAGTTAGGAGTTGTTATTTGTTAAATTTTTTTGGTGTATATTTTGTATTTATATGCTTGCATTTACTGCCTACCTAAGGATATTTTAATTATGTGGGATGAAGAAATGTGTATAAAAAATCAAACGCATCAGTTGTAAGTAGAATTTTTATGATACAAATTCCTATTTACATTAACACTTTTGAAACATTTTGTTTGGTTTTTACTCGACCTTTGACTTAAATGAGGCCCAGTTATGAAGCAAACACTCTATTGTACTTTTAATTTAATGGAATCTACCAATATATTCAGGAAGCTGAAAATATCTACTCAAGTATGACATCATAATTGGAACAAATATAGGAAAATCCCACACACCGACTAACATTTTAATAACCTTATTATTTTTAAGATGTTAAAATGCAAACGATTAAGGAAAATTGTGTGCCTAACGCTTAACCTAAGGACACTTACAACCCCTGAATGGCAAACAAAATCCATACCACCCTAACAAGTAGTTAACCATTAATAAAATGAATTGCAATTTGTCTAGTCTAGCAATTATTTGAAAACCGAGTGCATTGGTTTAGAAAACTGAGAAATTAATGGGACGATAATTTTCACAGTAATGTAGAGTTAATGGGAGGGTAAATTTAGTAATATGGCCAGTAAAAGAAGCTCAGATGACTTTCAAGACAAACAAATCAACACACACTAACCTCTGAAGGGGCGGAACTTTTAGAAGCGTTGTCCTTCGAACTGTCTTCCGTGATTGATTTTAATTTGCTCGACGCAGAAGCTGAATCGTTCGATGCCTGAAATCAAGGGCAAAATAATGTTTTAAGTATAACACAGAAACAAAGGTACAGGTAGTCATTGCCATATACAGTCTAGTTTGTACGATTTAACATATACGTGGTTGTAAAAAGTATGCAACCACAGTAAAACCCCTTTAACCACCAAGTTAACCGAGACCCTGGATAGCCAAAATCTAAATAAATATTAAAATCAAGTGGAAAATTAGCTGAGCAATAGGAATCATTCAGTCGTGGCAAACAGAATGCCATGGAGTAGACTACGATAGGGATCCTTTACTTCGATAAAGTTCAGAAAACCATCGTCGATTATTTAAAGAAATAGATATTGTGCATAGGCCTACAGTTGTAGATTTTAAGATGACAATAATTATAAAACGTAAAAAAACATTGTTTTAAATCTTCATAATCTGAGATAGCCTTTTCTTTGAAGCATTGATTAACCAAAATTTATACTGACCTTTAAAACTTCGTGTTCTAATTTTAATATATCTATTTCTGGGAAATATTTTGCACATAGAAATATAGTGACCGACATGTTATTACAGTTGCAGCCTCCGATGCTGACACTAGACTAATGTAATATATGGACATGTGACAAAGTATTCTAAATATTTAACTGTAAAACTCACCGTTGGCTCGTTTTTCATTGTTTTTCTATACAATTTAAATCACATTGGAACATGCAACATTCTTTACCCCGTCAAAATAAAGACTCTAGAAAGAGCTACGCAAAATGTGAGGAAAACAATTAGTAGGAAATGATAATGATAACCTTTTGTCTATTATCAGTAACTTATGCAGTGTGCTTTTGGGAAACACAAGTCTCTACTGTTATCTGTAATACAGTGCTTAATTGGCTCGAGTCTAGGAAAGAAATGTAAACTTTTAAGACAAACATTATGGGTATGCATATCTATCTTTCATATACTCAATAGGCCTGCATGAATGTTGTGATAATAGTTTTGAAGCACACAACCGATCACCATGTCCAAGGTATCGTTGGACAGGTAGATTTGCCATCAAATAAAAAAAAAAATTTGAAATGGAATATCACGTCAAATTTGGGGGTTTCCCATCGACTTAACATTGGGTGAGGGAGGTGCGTGCTTTAGAATTTTTTATGTACAAAATTAAATTTGTCTAAAAATAAAATTATCTCATAGCAAGAAGTCCTTTTTCTCTTACGATCTGTGTCTAGATTGAACGCAATTCCGCGCGTCAGCTCCACTATTATTAGCCTAATTATCATAGAAGAACATGGAAATAGAAATGTTTAATTAAAATTAAAATAATTAATTTGTAATCAAGCAGTGTATTAATTTTTAGACAAAATAATTCTTGATTACTGCTAAAATTTATAAATAGGTACCATAATCAAACACTTTTACATGAGAGAATGTTAGGTTAAATTCACTTTCAATGTGAAAAAAAGTTACTTTACAAATGTAGCGAAAGCTTCCAAATAAATTTATTCGAAAGTAACAAAATAATAGCATTCCGAATTTGACATCTAAGTGCTAAATAATCACCAAGCAGATATCAACTTAAAAAAAAAATTACATTAGGAAAAACATTTAGGGAAAAATTGGGTAATCACAAGAAAAAAATCACAATAGTTTTCTCCAAATCTTCAAGCTAAGATTATTTTAAAACACAGAACAACTTTAACTGTAATTAATATAAATGTAACATACCATATCCCAGTTTAAGGAAAACTCCGATGTAATTTATCAGGGTTAATTGACACGAAATAGAGGGAAACTTGGAGCAGAATGCAGCCAGAGCCACTGTGTTCTATCTCGACGCATCAACACATAACACTTTCATTGTGTCGTCAATTGAAAGAGCATTAGCCCTGCTTTCTACACTGCTAGCCACAGGACAACGCTTATACGTTAGAGTTCTTTGAGGTTAGACTACCTTTGACAGTTGATAGTAGGCTAAGAAAACATTTCATTTACATTAACGCCGTAATCAGTTTAACAATACAAATAAAGGTAAGTTATTTGAACAGCTAATTCCAGAGATTCCTGTCGTTAATTTTTCACAAAGCCAAACTTAATCGTCACATAAAATAACATAGTATTAAATACCAACGCTAAAACAAACCTATGCAAATTTCTTCAATTTGTATACTTCTGATTGGATTTTAGCTAAAATATTTCTATAAACAAGTCATATTGCCCCATTTAAAAAACATTAGATTTGAAAAGTACTTCAGGTTGCTGCTAAAGGAATGCCATAAAGTGTGTTTGGCGTTTAATTGTTAATAGCTTAGTATGAAATAAATAAATTTAACAATTTTGATAGAAAATATCCATAAACAAGTAAACTAAATAAATTAATAATTTAATTGCTGTTAATATTTTAGTTGCAATTTTAAGGAAACGTGTACTACACAAACATTTACTGACTTGGTTGAAACGAAATATTTACTATTTGGGTTGGCGTATATTTAATATTAGAATGGAAAAAAGCGAGAAAGCCGAACTTCTGACTAAAGCCCTATTTGTGAGGGGTTTTTTCAACTACATATGTTATGATTCTAAAACAGGTGACAGCTTTAACTTGGAAACGGAAAACCTTGATTTATCATTAGTCAAAGCTGAAAGTCAATGATACTAATGAGACTTTGAAAATAACCATAGTTACCTTTGACGATGGAGAGTCCCCGTAAATTCCCATTCCATATTTGATCTGGTGTTGTTCGATATGCTGTTTAACCATTTCAATTTCTTTCTTCTTCAGCTCAAAAACCACTTGGAACAGGTCTCTCATTGAAATGACAACCTAAAAATGTAAAATACAATAAAGTTTTTTGACTTTTTGAGGTTAAAATATCTTATAAAGGACAAGGGCCTTAAGTTTTAAGGGTTTTTAGAGAGTATTACAGACTAGTGTGAACAGGAAAGAGTACAAACTGGCACAAGAAACACAACACTGCAAACTATACATTATACTAATAATACTATACAAAAAATCAGGAATATTTCACTGTCACTGACAGCATTTTTACTAAGGAAGAGAGAGATTCTGATGGCCTGAAGAAAACACTCTCTTCCTCGTTCCCGCATCTTTGCAAACGCATTCGCGGTCTTGGAAATATGCTCGGCCTGACCCAAGCTTGCCCAGATAGTATTCATCGTTACATATTGTTTTTTTTTTGTAAACGGATAAAATTTCTAAATCGTAAAAAGGGTCTCCTCACAGTATCCGACCTTTTGGCCATTCCGACGGATGTGAGGTGTTCTACTGTACTTCAGTGTCTTTGGATCGCCACGTCTATGTTTGATGGTCAGGTTTCTTAAACTTGGAAGAATAAGAACACATAAAAAGAAGAAATGAGAAAACTGTTGTACAAAAACCTACTACGAATTTGGTTATTTTGTACCATTTTGAAAATATTTACGTTTGAGTTCACTGACACTGTTTAAATAAAGACAAAGCTTTTATGAAATGCCAAAAACTAGGTCAGGTGTGACCAAGTAAGAGAGATAAACTCATAATCAATTACAACAAGACGTTTGTAAATATGGATGCATTACTCTTATGAAATATTGACATAAAATCATGTTGGCAGAACATTTGTTAACTCTTCAACTTGATGTATGCTATACAAATCTTAAATACCTGGCTTGCTGCCTTGTCTGTTTTTATTCCAAAAAACCTGTGCCCCGTGTCTGGTGAGCCGAAGATATAACCAAATGCTCTAGAATCCGACATATCTTGAGCTATGAAGGAGATCTTGTGAACTGGATGATGGTACAAGCAATCCTGCAAGTAAACAAAACGTTATCATTGTTTAAAGCTATATGAAGAAGAAGAACCTGGACTTTTAGGGTTTTTTATTACTACATGATCCTCAAATGCTGTCCCCACAATAGATTCAATATACATTTAATTTAGGAGAGTAGTTAATAGTTATTGGATCATTGTTGTATGTTATCCAAGTCATAATTATCAGAAATAAGATAACTAGAACTCCAGTCGTAAGGCATGTGTTCTGATCTCAATGTTTAGAAGAAGCGCTTGAAGATCAAATGTAAAAGGTCTTAATATAGCTCCATAGAGTAGATTTGTATGAAACTCACGCAATAATTTACAGTAGTACTCTACAAGTTTTTAACGATACAAGCATGATTTTCATGTAAAAACCTTAAAACTTTCCTGGGTGAGGCACGTACAATATTATTTTCCATACTATTAGTAACAAACAGAGTAAGTAAAACCATAGACTAACCAACATGAGTACACCTCTCATCCCATTGTAAATTTTGAAGCTCGTTTCTCGTGTCTAGTTCATATATGGTGAATCTGGGCGCTAGTGTCGATAAAATTTTGTTTATATTATTTTACGGTTAATTTCTTGATTTGTGTTTTACTTTATATAGGCTAACTAGGGGACAATTTATTGTTTATGATTGGATCCTATTATTTGGTTTAACAGGGTTTAAAATTACTGAAATAACAAGAAACAAATTGTAAAGAAAACACAACCTCTGCAGTAAACCATAACAAACTAAACCTAAACAAAATTTAAAATAAAAAATCTGTACAAATCCTTATATATTCCTTAGACTAAAGAACTAACAATCACTACAGTACTCATAGCCTCTAAGAGAGGTTATGTTTTTGTTTATAGCCACTCATTGCCAAATATAATCAGCTGTTTGGTGTCTGGTAAATACTCATTACAGTACAGTAGTGTGTAATGAAACCCCATTTAATTAAGCTGGCGGCAAACAGCTGATTTCTGGACTAAATCCTTGCATGGGAAGTTCGTCAAAATAGTGTAGTGTGGCGTAAAGTTACTAACGGATTATCAGGACTTTACTGGGAAACAGCTTCATTTGTTCAAACCAACAGTGACCCCCGACGATGTCTACAGACGTTAGCCTTACCCCGGTCTTCTCGTCCCGCAGCCTCAGTCCGTCTATCGCTATGTTGATGGTGATACGTTGTTTGTGCTCGCCCGCCGCCCTGATCGCCATCTTCAGATCAGCCAACGCCTCCTGACACATCTTGTCGCCACGCGGGTCGCTCACTTCCAGAATACCGATCAGCTTGGCTTTGTAACTCACCCCTTCTCCCAGGAATCGTGAAGGCTCATTTTTGTCTGAAATAGAGAATAAGAATAAGTACTTACTCAAAACTATTAGGGGTTTATTATGCCTGAAGGACAATAAGCTATTTCCTGCGATGTATTACATATCACTTCAGCCTATACCTAAAGGGCTGCAGTATTGTTACATGTATAAGGAAGTCACTGGTGATAGGCAGGATTTGAACCAGTGATCTCAGGGATCGAAGGCATAAAAATACCACCAAACCTGCTCCGTTTACTAAGTTGGTGCAGAAATTGGACTATCTGGTTCAACTGTGTATAATATCGAAGCTAATAATTAAAAGCAATTAAATAGAAAAATATGGTATTGTTATACCACTGGTATAAGATCCCTTAACACCCAACAAGCGAGATGGATGGGGTCCCCCTCAGAAAACCTCTAAAATAAAAAAAAATAATATACCAGTAATTCAAAGTGATTTAATTCAAATTTACACATACTTGAGCCTCTACAATTCAAATTTTGTTGCCGGAATTCGAACTGTCACCTCCAAAATTCAAAGTCAACCTCTACAATTCGAACTACATTACCGTAAGCCTCTGTAATTTGAATTCGGGACAAAAAATACGCCTGTTGAAACATGAATTGACGCTCTTATTGATGTTCATAAGATGTGTTTATTAGTCTTAATTCTCTCAAACTCTCTACACTTAAAACTGGGACCTCCATAATTCAAATTTTATCTAATCTGACCTGTATAAATCAAACTACAGTAGAACCTCAATTACTCGAACCTCAATATCTCGAATTCCTCAATATCTCGATTTTTTTTAAATCCCCTTGAAATCCACATTAATCATAATGTTAAAAGTACCTTTATAAGTCGAAGTTTCTAAATATTTAACCTCAATAAGTCGAATTTTAACAACTTTTGAACAGTAACATTCTACCTCTATAACTCGAATTTTCCCGTCATCGAGCCTCAGTAACTCGAAGTTTACCTTTATAAGTCGAAGTTCGCATGAATGTGCCTCAATAATTCGAAGTTTTGCCATAACAGTGCAAGTCACTTGTGATTCCTGTCGAGACGTGAAAATCAAACTTCCTGTGTTTGCTTCCCGTGTCTGTTTGGCTAGGCACTGTAGTCAGTGTAGTTTACCCGTTTTGCCAAAGTAGATTCAGTACTTAACTACATTATGAGTTGTTAACCTTAACTTAACCAGCATTTTGTTTATTATTTTAATCACACTAGAATTTTCCCTTTAAATATTATTCTCTACAGTCTACATACTTTTTGTATGTACAGTATTGTACCTATTCAGTATTTTTGTTGTTACAGTACCTAGCTTGTTTTTACAGTACATATAAAGAGGTTGACTAACGTTTGCTTTAATCAAACATTATACACAGTAAATGTAGTTCCGTGTATGGATGATATATACTGTATTATTGTTTTGTACAGTATTTAAACTATTTTTTTTGTCATTTAACATGTTTTTTATGTACTTTATCAAACTTATTGCCAAATAATAAATACAGTACTTTATGTGCATTCAAATTGTTTTATTTTGCTTCCAAAGTTACTCTTCAGTAAGTTACGTATAAATACAGTTTGAGTTCGATTATTAAGGTTTAACATGTATAAGTCGAGTTATAAAGGCCATGACGTAACATCACTGTCAGACCCCAACACCTCAGTATCTCGAACTTTTTCATATGGAACCTTCATAACTCGAACCTCACTAACTTGAAAAACTTGATAACTCGAATTTTTATCATAACCCCTTCAGATTCGAGATATTGAGGTCCTACTGTATCTATATTTCAAACTATGGGAAGTTTGAAATATAGATAATTAAACACACTTCAGGGGTGTCAGTTTAACTTAACTGCATTGGCCTATTGTCTTTTTAACCATGTTAATCAACCAAATCCAATTGATTCAATAATTACTGATTTTTTTGTAGAATTATTAATTTGAACTCCTAACAGTTAAAGAGTACAAAATAAGGCTCAAGTGGATTTTTCTCAGCATAGAGGTTAATGTTGGTATTATATTATTTGTTGTAATCACATGATTTAGGTGTTCCGACGCCTGCCCATCTTGTCAGTTGGGTTATTGAGAGTGAAATTGTGAGGAGCATTGAGCAATAGTTTGTATTATCGCTCAAAACTGGGCCAGCTGTCCCTGATCGCTGGCACTTCAATTATGTTCCATCTAACACCATTTCTTATCGCCAAAATCCATCTATTTTGGATATTGTAAAGAAATTAAAATATTTTATATTAATATTATCAATATCCGGAAGTAGGAAAATAAATTCTGAAATTCTATTCAAACAGGCAACAGTATAATTTATTTATTTACACCTAGACCACCATCCTGACCAGATAACTACATCGGAGCATAAATAATAATATGGTTTCCAAAGAACAAAAAAAATCAAGAACTAATAATAATTTGTGGAACAACATTTTTTACTCAGCGTGTCAGCTTCTTAAGTTCTCATTGCTGAACATAGTTTTGTGATAGAACTTAACATGTTTTTGCAGGTAGGATATTAGTGCCTTAATGCCTATTTGAGTGCCTTATGTGATATTAGTTATTAAGATTCTCTCATAAAAGTTATTCCTACAAACTTTCACAAAATCTGCTACAGTATATTTTTGTGCACGAAAATATAATATAAAAAATGAATAGATATGTGCCATAATGTTAAAAAACATGTAATGCAATTTCAGGATTCATAAGTGCACTTTAAATCCAGCCTCTTATTTCAACAACTTTACTTTTCATAAAGATAAACTAAATCAAGCTATAAAACAGTAATCCACCTCAAGATAGGCCGTGTGTGTTACAGTTGAACGGAATGATGACAAGGTTGTGTTTTTTACTATTTTGAAGTTCACTGTTTTCTGCAACTAAATATCTTTTTTGCAGTTGGTGAACAGATATCTATCTCTTTATTTAAATCATTGTTTGATCAATCTATATTTATCACACAAAAATGTTTTCAAAGCTTGCCATATATCTTGTACATTTCATTCATAAGAGGTATTTGAAGTAGCCTAAATGATGCCAAGTTGTCACTTAAAACACGGGACCCATTTTTTTTTTTTTTTTTTTTTTTTTTTGGAGGGGGGGGAATTGATGAATTGATAAACATTTATAAAGCTGAAGCTTAAATTATAGGAAATATAAATTATCTGAAGCATTTTTGTTTGTAGCAATTTCAAGTTTGTATAGGCCTAGTTGAATTAGAATGACTGTCATACAAGGGGGGCCCCGTACACAAACTGCACACTTTAATACGGTTCAATCTTGTTTCCGGGAAAAACATTAAGCTAATGCAACACTTTTTTACTTTTCAAAGACTATAGATAATTAATTATCAACCAAAAGTAGTTATTAAAAAATGCATTTTCATAAACGGTTTTGTCTCTTGTTTAAAATCTGACTGTGGATGATAATTCAACTCCATTTAAACCCATAATAAAGTTGGTCTGTATCACTGGACCTTTAGAAGCAAAATCTAGGAATAAATAAAACACTGAACTTAGGGGGCGAAGCTTTAAAGGAAATCACCATTTTAGTTACCATTGGTTCCTTCAGCTTTAAGATGACAAATAAATTGTTTAGATCGGTTAAGTAGAATGAAAGAAAAAGGATTGTTACAGAGAAAACTCTCATTGTTATACTTGGTTTAGATATTTTATATATTTTACTTTATCAGCAGATCAAGTCTCGCCCCTGACTTTTTATTAGTTTATGCTTAAAGATGATTTTTTTAAGACTTCTTAAATAGATCTTTGGTTATTCTCAATGAGCTTGATAGCCAAATATACTCTAGGAAGATTGCATTATCAGAGACTATGATATTGTTTTATCAATATGTATAGTACCGTATATCATAAAACTGACATGTGGCGCTACTTCCGCTTCTAGGGAATTTAAGATATCTTAGTTTCATAGTGGATCCCGCTACTCTCTGAGTCACGAAATACGATTTGAAATTATATGATTAGCTAGTGAACGAAGAAGGAACACAAATTTGCTAGATTATTTGTTTTAACCACTTTTTACTAATTTATGTATTTTTACTATGCCAAATATACCTGTACTGCTTTTCAATTTAATGGAGTTTGTTAACTGCCTTGTTTCGAGGTGCAGACATGGGGAAAAGTAAAGTTTTTACTTTTATCAGATTTCACTCAAAAACTGTTTGTTTAATTCTACCCGATAGCCGGTTTCCATCAGATTTAAGACCCATCCACTGGTTCAGTTTATCAGCAGATCAAGTCTCGCCCCTGACTTTTTATTAGTTTATGCTTAAAGATGATTTTTTTAAGACTTCTTAAATAGATCTTTGGTTATTCTCAATGAGCTTGATAGCCAAATATACTCTAGGAAGATTGCATTATCAGAGACTATGATATTGTTTTATCAATATGTATAGTACCGTATATCATAAAACTGACATGTGGGACTTCCGCTTCTAGGGAATTTAAGATATCTTAGTTTCATAGTGGATCCCGCTACTCTCTGAGTCACGAAATACGATTTGAAATTATATGATTAGCTAGTGAACGAAGAAGGAACACAAATTTGCTAGATTATTTGTTTTAACCACTTTTTACTAATTTATGTATTTTTACTATGCCAAATATACCTGTACTGCTTTTCAATTTAATGGAGTTTGTTAACTGCCTTGTTTCGAGGTGCAGACATGGGGAAAAGTAAAGTTTTTACTTTTATCAGATTTCACTCAAAAACTGTTTGTTTAATTCTACCCGATAGCCGGTTTCCATCAGATTTAAGACCCATCCACTGGTTCAGTTTATACAGACCAAAGCAAAATAAAATCTTGCATAGTAAAATTTCACCAGAGCCTTCCCACCCTCCAAAACCCCCCTTAAATTTCGATTTTAAACTCCATCTTATTGCACATCACATCTACACCATACAGGGTTCCCTCTACACCTAATTTGTTAATTCAATGTCGTACATTTGGTGTGATATAGTGACCATCTGTCAGTAAGTGGTGTTTGC